TTTGAGTATTCAACACAAATTATATAGCTAGAAAATGACTTCTGCTTTATGACATTTCAGCATGTCCTAGATACAGTCAGTCATACTTAAGCCACCAGCTAAACAGCCAGCTTTCTAAAGACACCTAAATTCAATCTGCTGAATTTTCAAAAAGGAAGGATGGAAATATACAGCTTACTCAGTTTCAGGCAAAGCCTCTGGGAGTGTACAAACAAAAGCCTCGTTGTCCACAAGGACCCTGTGCTTCAGGGGATCTCTGGGCATCTTCTTTTGATACTATGATAGAAAGCTAGACCCCTTTTTGGTCATATAGAAGTTGCACAGCCCTGCCCACACCAACCCACCACCCCCCCACAACCCCCGCCCAAGGTGGACCCCACACAGTTGCACTGGGTTTTGTGAGGAAGCCCTCAAAGATTTTCTCATTGAAGCAGTAAGTGACACAGCTGTTCCATGTCAGACCCAGCCATTGCCACCCTGGCCAGTGCTGAGGGAGCCTAACTATTGAGTAGGCCCGCCCAGTGCCTCCCTATGAGCTGGTTCTAGAGAATGTAGACTATAGTGGCAGAAAGAGAGGCTACACTGGCTTGTCTTTCTTTCCCGGGAACGTCTTTTCTGAAGCAACTAAATGAGGACTTTGCAGGCGAGGGTGGTGGCCTCGCCTTCAGAATGCCTGGCCCAGTGCCCAGTGTGAAACATTCCCCAAATATGCCACTTGGTGAGTGTCCCAGTGGCCAGAGCCCAGAGCTGCCTGCTGCCAGGAGGGTTGGCATTTCCCCCAGGGTATGGGGACGGGCACCCTCCTCTGGCCCCTCTACCAAGCCTTGCATTTGCCAGATGCCAGGATAGCCCTGCCCCTGGTTACGAAGTCCGGAGCAAGAATCTGTCCAGCAGTGGGGCGTGACAGGAGCTTGAAAACTTTTTCCCTCTGTAAATCCCCTCCTTCATTCAAATCCAGCCCTATCAAAAGGCTTTTGTTGAAGGAGCAGCCGTGGCATCTTGGTGCATGTCTGTGTCACTGCTATCTCCATTTCCAAAGATGGACAAAAAAAGAACATCCTTATTTGAATTCCTGAGCCAGCAGGTCTGAAAATTGACTTGGAAGAGCAGAGGTAACGGCTGATGCCACAGCGCATTTGTTTGGATTGTGAGTGACGAAGCTAATGGGGAAAGGACTTTCTTGGGCTTGTAGGAAGCCCGGCAGCCAGGAGCCGCAGGGCGTTGGGCGTCCTTGCCCTGTGGGACCGGCATGCTGGGTGGGCGTGGGCGCGGGCTATGCGGTGCTGTTGTTGCTTTAGATGGGCATTTCAGCGGGGGTGGTTAATAGGGTTGGGGCATAGGGTACGGCTCTAAAGAAAGAAAGGGACTCTAGCTCTTTCACCCTCTTTTGGGGAGGAGCCATTTCTGTTTACTTTGCTCCAGTCTTCTCTCAGGGATTCCTCCAGAATATAGCCAGGAGAGCGGTCACGCCTCGGGGTTGTGCTGCCCGTTGGAAAAAGTCCCGTCAAAGGCACGAGCAAGGAAACGGCCGTTTCTGTCTCCTTTGTATTGAGTTTTTGCTTCATTTTGTCTTGACTTAGTTTTCTGAAACCTTTGTCTCCAGGAAATCACCTAGAAGGATCTAGAAAGTGCATGTTTTTCTGTTTTGCTAGTCATCATTTTAACCTTTGCTTTACCGATTTGACAGTTTTTGCTTTGGCTTTAAACGCACATGGTTGTCAAAAGCCAAAACCACCAAAGCAAAAAGCAACAGATAATCCAACAGATTACAGATTTCAGCATTCTGATAAACATTCTTCCCATGGTATAGTTGAATTACTATCCTTAAGACTAAGTCTTTTCCCACCCTTGTTTTGATGCCTTTCCCTTCCCTCTTCTTCCCCACCCCTGCAGAATGTCTCTGATTTATAGTTGTTTATTTTTGTTTTGCTTTCCATTGCTACCTTTTCTTCTGATCCCTCATTTGTTTTCCCTATATTCCTCCTATAAGTGAAACTGTTGATATTTTTCTTTTCCTTTTTGACTTATTTCATTGTGCATAATCTCTTCTCGTTCCATCCACCATGTTGCTACGACTGGCATTAGTTTATCTTTTTGACTGCTAAATAGTATTCCATTGCATGGAATACATTCCACATATTCTTTATGCAGTTATCTGTTTTGGGGCATTGCCCCCAAATCTTACCTATTATAGACAGTGCTGCAGTAAACATAGGAGTGCAGGCATCCTTTTGAATTAGAGGTGCATGGGTGAATTGGTGTTGGTAATCCTATGGGGACTGCACCTGAGAGGAGAAAGCAAACATTGTACAAAAATGAACAATGATGTAAAATATATATAAATAAATTAAATTTAAAATTTTTTAAAAAGAGAAAGAATAGGGCCCTCCCTGGTGGTGCAGCGGGTTGGAGCACTGCACTGAGAAGCTTAAGCCACTTCCACATGAGTTCGATCCCCGCCTGCCCTGGAGGAGATCCACATGTCGTGGCAGACCTCTCCTGACCCGCCCGCTGCTCCCCTTAGCAGTGTACTTCGTCGATCTGCCTGCTCTGCTCCCCACTCTGTCCCTGGTGAATTCTCTCACCCTCCGCATCTCTGGCCTGTACCTCAGTACTGTATGAATAAATAAATAAATCTTAAAAAGAAAGAAAGAAAGAATAAGTGTTTTGCCTGTTCAAACTGTGACTTTGTTCCATTTGGGAATTTCTTCGTATTTAGGTATTTGGAATAAAACACCTCTTAGTCCCATTAGTCTTTTCCCTCACTAAGCCAGTATCATTCCCAGTGCTTTCTAGGTTCTTGCTTCTGACAGCACATCTCGACTTTACTCGGTTGGATTTCCCCCCTTTCCTAGCATTTCTGTGCCTTGTCTGTCTTACCGAATCCTAGTTCCAGCTACTAGCATCAGGGAGCAATGGACGGGAGGATGCCAGAGAACATGGGCTCAAATCCTGGCAAGTCTACTTACTAGTCGATTGACCTTGGGCAAGTTCTGTTCTCTAGACTTCCTAATCTTTAATACTAAAAGGAAACAGTCTCAGCGACTATGTCACAGGGCTCTTCTGAGGACTGAGTGGATCAGTCAGTAGTTGAGGGGCTTGGACCCCTGCCTGACTCCATGACTGTTTAGCTTGGGCTTCTGCCATGCACAACACAATATTTACTGCAGTTAGAAAGACAAGACAGCGGAGGATGGGCTTGATAGTGATGGTGGTATTTCAGCATGTTGTTTCTGTGGTGTCATTAGTCCTTGCTGATATAAGGGAGAAAAGCCCTAACTAAGCAGTGTGCCCTGAACTGCTCTGTTTTTTTTTTAAACCTCTTAATTTAGATACAATTTGCATATCATAGAATTTAGCCATTTAAAATGTACTATCAATGACATTTGATGTAGTAAACATTGTTAATCTTTCAGGTTCTGGTAAAATATATATGCAATTTAAAATTTGCCATTTTAACTATTTTTAAATGTATAATTCAGTGGCAGCAGTTACATCACAAGATTGTACAGACATCATGTCTACTTACAAAACTTTCTCAACTTTTCAAATAAGCTGTGTTTAATAGGCAGTAACCGCACATTTCCCTCCCCCTAGCCTTTGTTAACCTTTGGCTGCACTCTGACTTTACAGATTTCCCTGTTGTAGTTGTTTCACGTAGAAATGTCATGGTAGTGGAATTGTACGGTATTTGTCCTTTTGTGTCTGATTTACTGGGTGTTTTTGGAGTTCATCTATATTGTGACATGAGTCAGAACTTCATTTCTTTTTTTGGCTGAATAATATTCCATGCATGGTGTACCATATTTTGTCTATACAGTCACCCATAGATAACCATTTGGGTTGTCCTTACCTTTTGGCTCTGGTGAAAAATTCTGTAATGAGTATTGGCATACAAATAATGTCCAATTCCCTGCTTTTAACTTCCCCCTGGGTGGAATTGCTGCATTGTATAGTAATTCTATTTTAGTTTTTTGAAGAACTGCCCAACTGTTTTCCTGGAAAAGCAACTTTGTGATTATTTTCCTCCCTTGCATTTTTCTTGTTTCTGTGTCTGTCTCCCTGAGGTCTTGTCCCGTTCCCTCCTGTCATGCGAGTTCGTCTATACTTGCAAGCAGCCGACCCTGTGATGCATCTGCAGGAACACCCTCCTCTGTCTCTCGTCAGCTGGTAGAGCATATACAGCCCACCCTGGCCACACACCCTCCCGACCCCTTTCACCTCATTCTCCACGGCAGGTCCTCCAGACATTCAGCTGATTTTGTCACATGACAGTTTGGCCTCCAGGTAGACTTAAAATCTCTAAGGAACTCAAAAATGGAGCCACAACCTGCAGGATTTCAGCCTTTTTGGAAGGGCCTCTTCTCCCCTCCTCTCTTGCTTTGTTGACCTCATCACCTTGGCTTGTCTTCGGGGCTAGTGCAGCCATGCTGTCCAGCCAGAGAGTTGTTTTCTGGTTCACACTTGTCCTGTATCTCCACCTTTCTGTAAGCAAGTGAACTAATTAATGAATACCCCAACAGACTGTGAGCCTGCCTCAGACAGCCATTCTGGTTGTCGGGCTAATTGTTAGCTGGGGTTTGTGGATGTCACTCATTTCACAATAAGGCTCCTAATTAATCTCTGCACCGTTCTCACCAGAAGAAAGGCTGATACAGAGAAACATCCCCAATTACCATGAGAAAGAAAATGTCAAGAGCTCGGTGGAGTTTTCCTGGCATCCACTTCTGGTCTCCGATGAAAACCGTCATTAATGCACAGAGACGGCCTGGTGACCAGTCCAGGAACCCAGGGGCTGGAGGAGCCCTGACCACTGGCCCCAGCTCCGGGAGGAAGCTGCTGTGTCCACGCTCTGGGATGTAGTAACACCCCTGGAGTCTCCCAGGAGAGTGTGGGGATCCTGATGCCCTGGCCATGCCAGTGTCCCTGAAGCAGGCAGAGCTGAATTAATCTGGAAAAGCTAAAGGTCTCTTCCTTTGTCTGTGTTTTCATGTCTGCAGGACAAAAGATCCTTCATCACCGCAGTGACGTTTTAGAAACGGTGGTCCTGATCAACCCTTCAGATGAAGCAGTCAGCACCGAGGTAAGCATCAGCTCTGCAGGTTCAGGCAGGGCTTCACATAGTAGACAGAAGCCAATGGACAAAGGGGCTGGGGGTACGACATGGGAGAGGGAAGTTCTGGATCCAGGGGTGCTACCTTACCCCCAACCAGTAGCTGGATCTGGATATTGATCCCACCTTACTCCACCCCTCCTAGTGAGTATGAAGGGGAAGACACTAACCAGGGTTGTGATATTTTGTCAAGCAGGTTGGGGTGAAATTTGGGGGTGTCTGGAGGCTGCTGAGATGGAGTCTGTGGGGATAGCAGGGAGCAGAGATTACGTGCCAATACGTATCAAACCCAAATTTGGAGAAGAATGGCATTTCAACTGAAGGCCCCCTCAGAGCCACCCACCCACCTCCTTATCACGGTTAAAAGGCACAGCGTGCAGTAGGCAGGAGCCTGTGGTGTCAGACTGTCTGGTATCCGCCATGTACTGCTGGGTGGCTTTGGGCAAGTGACTGACTCCTTCACTCTTCAGCTCTGAAATGGAGATAATAACATTCTTACATTTAATGTGCTTACATGTGCCAAGATGTAAGAGTGGATCGAGAGTGGATGCCCTGTAACAACTGAAATATAAATGTTGGGTATATTACTGTGTCATATGAATTTTTTACCAGAGAGGGGGTCTTTGGATATAGGCATACCTCAGAGACGTTGTGGGTTCAGTTCTATGCCCAATTAAGCTAATAGCCCAATAAATCGCATCACATGAATACCATTATGCCAAGAACATATGTTACAGTGTACACATTGTAATTAAATGTGACCCAGGGGCATGAAGGGAGCACATATATTGCTGGAAAAATCACTCAACAAAGTGTTGCCATGAACCTTTAGTTTGTAAAAAAAAACTTCACAATATCAATGAAGTGCAACAGAAGAAGGCATGCCTGTATTTCAGAGCCCACTGTAAGAGGAGAACTTGGTGAAGCCAAGAGTCCCCAGTCACCCTGACTAGTGAAGCTGATACACCTCCACGTCCTACTTCCCGTGTTACAGTTTAGCACCTTTGAGATTGAGTTGCTTCCTGGGCATTGAAGTAACCACAGTCCCTGATCGCCACTGTCCACACTGTCTCATCTGCCCATGCAGCTATAGTCCAGTTTAAAAATACTGAAATTGCATCCACATACTATAAAATACATCCTTCTATGGCATACAGCTCATTGGTTTTTAGTACAGTCACAGAATTGTGCAGCTGTCACCACTAATCCCAGGACATGTTCTTTACCCTTCACTAACTCCAGACTTAAAACAGCAGTCACTCCCCACTCTCCTCCGCCGCTGGCAACCTAATGCACTTTATGCACTTAGGGATTTCAGGTAACAGTCATACAATATGTGGTGTTTTGTGTCTGGCTTATTTCAGCTCGTGTAATGTTATCAGGATTTATCTATAGTATAGTAGATAGCAATACTTCACTGCTTTTTATGGCCAAATTCCACATTTTGTTTATCCACTCACCAGTTGATGAGTGTCTGGCTTGCTTCCACTTTTTGGCTATCACTGTGTCGTCTGTTTTGCTCTGATTTCCACTTGCTTCAGATCAGCACAGCCTCCCTAATAGTGCATTACGGGACAAGGTTGAGGCACGTGATGGGTTAGCAATCTCTGCTAGCAGAATTAGGATGTAAATACAACCTGAAAAACAGCAGATTAATATACATCCAGACAATCTACTTCAAGCAGCTGTGAAATATGGAAAAGGAAAAGCTAAGAATGTCTTAAAGCACCCAAACTTGCCTGTGGAGCAGATGGGGCTGGAACAGTTATTGCAGACATGTGTTGTCCCTTGATTTGATTGTGGGTTCCTGGGGGCAATGAGTCAGAGTCTGTTCACTTTTCTATCTCCCTCCATGCCCAGTGTGATGCCAGGCACTCCATTTGTGCAGAACTGAGTTGGGTTCAGCACAAAAACCTTGCTACTTAGAGCTGTGCTTCTGTTGAGCGACAGGTTGGCTTCCTGCCACTCCAAGTTCACCCAGAGTTCTTCAGTGCAGACCGCTTAAGATTTCTATTTGAAAATACCTTATTTGGGACTGCCTTTTGTTTAGATGCAATATAAGGCACCTTCCTGATCCCACTGGAGATTGCATTTGATGCTGTATGTCTGGTGTATGCTGTGGGAGGAAAGGGGTTCTGTACGGCTGACGCTAGCCCTGCACCCTACTTCGAAACCTGTGTTTCTCGATTCCGCATTTGGGGCCCCAGAACTGTACTGAGTGACTCGGCCTGTGAGATATTCGTGAGTCTCCCAGGCCATGTGCCGCTCACAGACACAGCTGTGGAACAAATGATCGTCAGCTGCGGAGTCTGCTTTGAAAAAAGACAAGGAAACTACAGGGGAGAGTCAGCCGTCACTGCAGTCTTAGTTGTAGCCCAACTTGGCGTGACAGTGCCATTCACGGGCGAGCTGATGGCCACAGTCATTGACTCTGTCCATCTATCTCCTCAGGAGACATTCGAATACCAGGGAATGAATGGTTTTGTCAGTGATGAACTTCAAGTGGCGTTGAAGGAGGGATGGGGTCCCGCCCATGCTCACATCCTGCCCCTGTGCTTTGTTCCAGGTGCGCTTAATGATCACGGACGCTGCCCGACACAAGCTGCTCGTGCTGACGGGACAGTGCTTTGAAAATACTGGAGAGCTTATTCTTCAGTCCGGCTCTTTCTCCTTCCAGAACTTCATAGAGATTTTCACCGATCAGGAGGTGGGCCCCTATCTGGGAATAGCAAAGTTCTAGAGTTTGCTTGGTTATTGTTGGAGCTTTAGGTTGCCCTTTGGAATGCTGTTGGGAGACAGAAGGAGGAGGATGCAAATGTCACACTTCTTTGACATAAGCAAAAGGGTGTGATCTGACGATACTACGATTCTGCGGTTCATAACCAAAGAATTTAGAACAGTCATCTATAATTAATTGGAACCATTCTTAATGTGCCTGCGATGCAGATGGGAGAGGAGGTTGGAAGGCTCAGTATTTTACAGATGGTAAACATGTTGGAGAAACTTAAAATACCAGAACTCCAAAGAAGACCCAGGTTTCCTGTTTTTTAAAAGAAAAAAAAATTTGGATTCTTAGAGGATTTAACTGCTCTGGTCTCTTTTAGAAATTGTACTTACTTTTCCTGGTCTAGTTATTTCTGATTTCTTTTACTTTTAATGCCTCATCCCAGTGTTTGAAATTGGGTTGTTTGTGTAGTTCAAGAAAGAGAGGTCGGAAGTAAGTGAGAAATGTGAGGAAATGCAACATGGGCATGACCCAAGAAAAAGATAATTACAGTAACTGAACTGGGTCATGATCTTATTCAGAAATGTTACACGTGTAGTGTTGCAAACTACATGACACTGGTTTTAGTAAAAGTAGTTCAGAGATTTTAACTTGGTTATTATGGCTTGGGAATTTATTCTGACTAGGAAAACTGTCTTTCCAAAACAGCATGCCTCTTTCATTTTGCTGTTTTATAGTAGTTACTGAAACGATCCAAGACCAACCTCACGGCAGGTTGCAGGCTCCCCAGAGATGATAGCAGATCTTTTTTTTTTTTTTAAAGATTTTTATTTCTTTATTCATACAGAACTGGAGTACAGGCTAGAGGCTCAGGGGCAGTCAGAGGATTCACCAGAGGCAGAGTGGGGAGCAGAATAGGCAGATCGACAAAGTACACTGCTGAGGGGGACAGCAGGGTGAAGCAGGAGAGCTCTACTGGGCCATGTGTGTTAGCTCTGGGGTGGGGATTGAACTCACACTGAAAGTGACTGCAGCTGTCTTGCAGTGCTGCACTTCAACCCGCTGTGTCACCAGGGAGGGTCCAGCAGATGTTTTTAAATTGTATTAATGATGTGCCATTATTTTACATCTATTTCTTCACGATATAGACTTTTTCCCCTCAGGTGTGGTCACCATAGTTTCTCCCCCTTCAAAATACCCACCATCCTCCGCTATACCGCATTGTGATCTCCTCTCATGCATCCCCTGCCCCTCAACTCTGCCTCCATTTTCTCCCTCTCCTCCTGGATACCTCAGGCTTATGATCAGCTTTCAAGGGTCACTTTTAAAGTTTGTCAGTGTTTGATCCTTTGTTTGGTTTCTCTGTATTCCAAGTATAAGTGAAACCATCCAATATTTATCTTTCTCCTTCTGGCTCACTTCACATAGGATAATCCCTTCCAATTTCATCCAGGTTGTCACAAATGTGATAGTAGATTTCTAACTGGAAATGCTGAGGGCTGTGCTGACTGTAAAGAGAGCATCTACTTAAAACCATTTCTCTGAGAACTTCCTGAGACGGTGGCCTCTTGGTCTCCTGGGTGTTTGGAAGGACTGTCTGTCTCTCTGCATTTAATCTTCCTGAGCCCTGCCCCTCACAGAGAAGTCGCTGTGAACTTTCCATCTCTGGCAAGAGGTGTAAATAAACTGTCCAGCTTCACTTGGTTCACCTGGAGGCTTCTGTAAAAAGACTGTCAGGTAGAATAACCATGTTTTATTCCCCATCCACTAGAGGGAATAAACAACTGTGGAAAGGGACATTTCCCTTAGTGTGTGAAGCTGCAGCTTTCAGAATGTGGCTCTTACCTGGGTCTGAAGCAGATAGTCTCGTCCCCCCACAATAAGAAGGGATCCCAGTGGTACCATCTTTACCCCTCCTAAATTAGCGTTTTGACCTAGTCTTTCTCCAGAACGTGTGGCCTGATTTCCTACAGTTTAGTTTGCCTTGTTCATCTCACACCCACCACATCCCCTCACAGTAAGGCCCTGTAAACCCTTATCATTTGCATGCAGGTTCCCAGGCTGGAGCTACAGTTCTCATTCTACCTGCAGCCCTGAATCTGGCCTGTGATCTCTGGAATGTCAGAATCGTTTGCAAGGTGGTATCCCTGTGTCCATGATGTGCTCATGGGCATTTGGGCATGTGTATGGTATCAGATTCTCTCACACACTGTCAGCACCTTGCCCTGGGGAAGGGAGCTACAGGTGGCCCTCTGTCACAGGTGAGCGGCCACTGGCTGCTCCGTACAGGCACACGGTTGCCTCTGCTGCTTTCCTGTGCAGTTCTGCAGTTCGTACTTGTCATTGCCAAGTGACAATAAAGAGGTATTTTGAACACCCAATAATATCTCTCTTTACATAAGGCAAACTATTAGGAATGTTGCTACTTCAATGGTTTATACTAACATGCAGAAATAGACTTTTAGCACAGTGGACTGTGCGCATACAAATTTACCACAAATTATAGAAGAAAAAGAAATAAAGAAAATGGGTTTCAGGGTAGGGTGGGTTCCATGGGGTTTGTTCATACTGGGGTGACTGGTCACTGGGGTGTTCAGAAGGACTTCTATCTTCATTATACTCAGCTGGGTATCAAGGCTAGACAGGGTCCTAGTCTCTACCTGCCCCAAACCCCCCACCCCAATACTTAGAAAAAGTATTTCGACAGATGAAAAAGGATCTCTAGAGTGATCCCTAACAAACTGGACAGTGGTGTCAGAAGTGTGGGGAAGGAAGAAGGAGTGGGAGGATGCTGGATATAGACTACTTGCTTCCCTTTGCTCCAGCCAGAGAAGTTAATCTTTATCTCTTTGTACTGTGGACTTTGAAGAAAGGTGATACAGTTAAAATAGATTAAAAATTTCTGGTTTATATCAGTGGTCACAGCCTTTTAGAACTGTGCTTACCTATTACTGCCATGGAAAAGGTCTTGACCATAGAATGATTCAGTAACAAAGGGAGCCTAAGACCATTTGGTATCCAGTCTGATTCCTTTAATCCAGTCCTTAAAACATCCTAGTTACTCTGGAGAAACCTTTGTAAGCATACCTAAAAATAAATGAACTAAAAAAATAGAATTGTTAGTGCACTTTAAACTTCAGGTTTGGGAGTCTTAGTGGATGTCAACTACAAAACCAGAGGTTGTAGATAGAAATTTGATGATGGTGAAATCACCATGTCTTGGGACATTTTTCAGTGTCTGTGAGAAAGTTTTTCTTCATTTGTCTCATTGTATCTTCAAGAAAGAATGTGATCCCTTCTCCAATGCTGACAGGTTATTTTCCTTCAGATCAATAATCTTCAGTTTCATTTACTGTTCTTGAGCAAACAAGACCTGGTCACTGTTCTTTAAATCTTTTTCACTGACAGGAAGGGGGAAAGGATGGGGATGAGGAGAAATTCAGTTGAGTCTCAATGGGTTAAAGCACAGCACTATGAAACTATTGCAGCTACTGCAGCACCAGTTCGATCCCTAGCCAGAGAGGTGACCCACATGGCGTGGCAGACCTCTCCTGACCAGCCCGCTGCTCTCCTCAGCAGTGTAGTTCAGTAGATTTGCCTGTTCTGTTCCCCACTCCGTCTTTGAATCCTCTCACCTACCACACCTCTGGCCTGTACCCCAGTTCTGTAAGCATAAATAAATAAATCGTTAAAAAAAAAAAGGAGTCGGGAAAATCATCAGCATATTAAAATAAAGATGAAGCGATAGAGAGAGAAATTTATTAGAAGAGAGAGAGAGCACTTAGAGGTCAAGGCCAGGGTGAAAGAGCCAGGAAGGAGGCCCACTTCAGGCTGTTGGTTTGCTTTGTTTTTCTTTTTATTGAGATAACCCTAGTTTGCCACACTCCATAGGTTCCAGGTACAGAACTGTGTATCATAGTTTTTGCTCATGTTTCTCTAAACTGTGATGACTCAAAGTGGGCAACATACTTCATGGGACACTGGCCAGGTTAGGATGGTGAGAGTTAGCGATTTCTATAGCTTTCAGCAGAACTTTCTATTAAATAAGTGTAAAAGTTACTTTTGTCCATTACCATTCCCAATTAGAGGTTAGTGGGCAGGGGAAGCAGGCTTTGAGGGGCTCTGTAATTTACATAACTTAGAAGCTCCCTTCAAGCAAAAGAACACAAAGTTGTTAGTACACAACCAAACATAGAGCTCAGGGTGGGCCCATTCACCCTTAGTGTTTAACCTTTTTTTAGCTTTTAGCATGTACTTTTATAATAGACCCAAGTGATAGACTAAATCCCCTGAGTCTTTTTCATGGATATGGGTGCTGAGTGACACCCCCACATCCTGTATTTCATCCAGTTGGGTTATTGGAGCTTCCATTTATCTCTTTAGAGTGTCATCCTGTTAGAGCTGACTTAGCCATCATCTTCCCGGTGTCAAGAGCACTTGTCCTAGCTCACATTGGTGTGCCGCCCATTTTCATACTACCTGTTGCAGACTGTTGATAGACATGAATCAGAAGGATGTAAGTGAACCTGGAGGCAGCTCGTCACAGATACCCCCTCGGATCAGCACTAAGCACGTACCAGACCTGCTACCAGTCCGCCGAACTTGGCTCACACTATTCAGAGAACCTGTTAAAGTTCTTGTTAAAAACCAGAGGTGCAATGTCCGCTGTAATTCTTCATTAGCCAAGCAAGTAACCGCATCAAAAGAGGAAATGTAGTTAGTCGGCCACGATTTAAAAATTCAGATCTTATTTCATTACAATCACCACGGTAAAATCATTTATTTCCCATATCGTTCTTCCTCTTCCAGTACTTCTGTATTTAATTAGAAAAAGTAGTTAGCAAAAAATACTGTTGCCCGGAAAGCATTTACTGCAGCGGTGTGCCTGCCTCTCATCCACTTCTGTGAGAACCAGTGGGGGTAGGAGGGGCAGCAGCCTGGGAAGTATGATGGACTCACATCCTTGGCAGGCGCCCTCTCTAGCACGACAGCGCGTATTGCATTGAGTGCAAGTTCTGTGCAGTTGAGCAAACCTCTGTTGAGCCTGGTATGTGTTATGGAAACAAAAATAACTACAGTGCAGAGATATTGAAGATGAGTTTCCTACCACTCAGGAATTTTTAGCATAATGGGTGATCACAGCTACCATTTACTATGATGCTTTTCAAATTCTTTCACAGGAGCCTCAGTTTCCCCATCTAAGACTTCTAGTCACAGTTTTCCTCGCCACTGTTTGCATTGTTGGGCCTTCCTTATTGTTCTTATCCATTCACTGGATGAGTTTGTCACGGTGGCTGGGTCTTGTGACATAGCCTTTGCCCCATCCCGGGAGTGTGCTGCCGTGTGGGTCTGGAAGCGAGCTCAGGGCATATGGGACTCTGTGTCTGCAGGGCTGCCGTAGCTGCCCCTCCTCCCTGCCCCGCCTCTGTGAGCCGCTCTCCCAGGCCTGCTCCCCTGGCTTGTCTCAGCGCAGGCAGTGTGTTCCTGCTTAGCCCGCAGCTGCATCCTTTCTGCAAGGTACTGCCCAGTTGCTTTCTTGTCCACTTTCCCTGGCTTGTCACGGTTTTCCATTTACTAAACTCTGTTGTTTTTTATTACCACTCATTTCCTCAGAATTCTGTGCAACCTTTTTTCTTTTGGGGTCATTTCCTTCATTTCAAAGGCACTTTCTGGTGGAAAAAAATGGCAGGTGGGAAGGCATTCTGCAAGTCTTTGTACCTTCTCCTCGATGTGCTGCTTAGAAGGTCACAGAAAAAGAGCTCCTGCCCCCTCCGTACGCACAGCTGGTATACCCTTGGTGCCATATCCCTCAGTTAGGACAGAATTTCGAAAATTAAAATGGGTTAAACAACTTTAAATCCACCATTAATGATTCAGCAGTTTGAGTCAGCCTAGTTTTTTCCTCTAACAGGAGTAATTTGTATGTGCTTTGAGTGAAAATTAGATGGAGAAAATGCTAATTGTGCTATAATGATGGCGATGAGGGTCTCTGCCAATTATGGACCAAGACACTCTAGTTTTCCCCTGTTTACTCAGCTCAGCCAGTAATTTGAGTGGAGATTCAGGATATTACCATTTGCTTATTCAGAATTCTTAGCTTCCAAAATAATTGATTCTTATCCCTTTTGTATTGTCAAGTTAAGTCATAGGAAAACAGCAAAGACTTGTCATATTGCTATTTTGTGACCCTCCTGTAAAATGTAGGACAAATAGGCTAAGAAAATACAAAAAAATGTAGTAAAATGCAATCGAGTGTAGACAAGTTCAGATTCCAAAAGTGACCCTTTTACACACACACTGGTAGCCTCAAGAAGTTGTGAGAGTCAGAGAAACAATACTCCTAATCCTAGAACATGGGAGTTCACCATTTGCCACCAAGGACATAGAGCGCCTCTGAATTGAAACTCTGAGCTTTGTTACGACCAAAAGACTGGTATTTATAGTGTGATTCTCCCTCACTGTTTATTTACTAAGTTGAGATCATGAAACATACAGCTATAATATGGAATGAGAAATAAAATACTGGTTTCAACTAAATCACAATCTCTGTTTTGGTCTCCTCTCATGGGAGATACTAAACAATGTGTCAAAAAACTTTTGAGCCAAATTTGATGTTAGTCACTCACGGCTTGCTGGGAAAGAACAGGAGCTGTGAGACGAGGTCTCACAATGGCCTCAAACGTAAGCAAGCAAGAGACAAATTTGGCCACCTGCTTATATCACTACCCAGTTGCTTTATTCAGCATGGCTTCCACCAAAGTATTGATATTTGCAAATATTTTGTATTTTCTGGATGAATCAATCATGTTTTTAAATGGCCTGAACAATGATGGTGTGAATTTTTCTTTTCTTTTCTTTTCTTTTTTTTTTGCAACAATGCACAACCCATAACTTCCTGTCTCCCAGGAAACTGGGAAATCAGGAAACACTAAACTTTCTTCTCTTGTACCTGCCACATTCTGAAAGTAGAAAACAATATGTACATTATATGTAAATCCTTTAATGTATCAAGTAGGCTTTTTTTTTTTTTGGCCAAACTTTAGTGGAACAAAGAAAACATTAATAATGTTCTATAGTAGTGGTGAAATGACTGAAATGACTCATATGTCCCCCTTTGTGATAGTGTAGTATTTTCTTTCTTTTTTTTTAAAGATTTATTTATTTATGCATTACAGAACTGGGGTACAGGCCAGAGGTGCAGGGGCGGTGTAAGGATTCACCAGAGACAGTGGGGAGCAGAACAGGCAGACTGAGGAAGAACATTGCTGAGGGGAGCAGTGGGCGGCAGTTCAGGAGAGGTCTCCCACATCACGTGATGGATCCCCTGACCTCCAGGGCAGGCAGGATTGAATTCATGCAGAAATGGTTTAAGCTTCTTAGTGCTGTGCTTTAACCCTCTGCGCCACCAGGGAGGGCCGATAGTGTAGTATTTTCTAAAGGGCATTTTTACTTGGCAAATAACCAGGAGTGATTTTCAAGCTTTTGTGGCTCAGTCATCATCCAGCTGGTCACTTAGGGCTGGAGCAGAGTTTCAGAGTCCCCTGTGAGCAAGGATAGCTAGTGAAGGAGTCTCAGGGGGAGTGCTGAGTGGGCGAGTGTGGTGGAGACAGTGGAGTTCATGAGAGAGGCTATTGCACCTGTGGTGATATTTTGACACTTGAAACAACCAGAGTCATGGAATTCAGCCTTAGGTGCATTCAGTGGTCCTGTAATAAAAGAGATGATCAGTAATGACAGTGACTTATACCCTTTTCCTTCTTTTCTTCTTCTTCTTTTTTTTAATGCCAGATTGGGGAATTACTGAGTACCACCCATCCTGCCAACAAAGCCAGCTTAACCCTTTTCTGTCCCGAAGAAGGGGACTGGAAGAACTCCAATCTGGACAGACACAACCTCCAAGATTTCATCAATATTAAACTCAACTCAGCTTCAATATTGCCTGAAATGGAAGGACTTTCCGAGTTTACCGAGTACCTCTCAGAATCAGTGGAGGTCCCATCTCCCTTTGATATCCTGGAACCTCCCACATCAGGTGGCTTTTTAAAGCTCTCCAAGCCTTGCTGTTACATATTTCCAGGAGGTAGGGGTGATTCTGCACTGTTTGCAGTGAATGGATTCAATATGCTAATCAATGGCGGGTCAGAAAGAAAATCCTGCTTCTGGAAACTCATCCGACACTTGGATCGAGTGGACTCCATCCTGCTCACCCACATTGGGGATGACAATTTGCCTGGAATAAATAGCATGCTACAGCGGAAAATTGCAGAGCTTGAGGAAGAACAGTCCCAGGGCTCTACCACAAATAGTGACTGGATGAAAAACCTCATTTCCCCTGACTTAGGAGTTGTATTTCTCAATGTACCTGAAAATCTGAAAAACCCAGAGCCAAACATTAAGATGAAGAGAAGCATAGAAGAAGCTTGCTTCACTCTGCAGTACCTAAATAAATTGTCCATGAAGCCAGAACCTCTCTTCAGAAGTGTCAGCAATGCCATCGATCCTGTCATTCTTTTCCAAAAAATGGGAGTTGGGAAACTTGAGATGTATGTTCTTAACCCAGTCAAGAGTAGCAAGGAAATGCAGTACTTTATGCAGCAGTGGACTGGCACCAGCAAAGACAAGGCTGAACTCATCTTGCCCAGTGGTCAAGAAGTAGATATCCCAATTTCCTATTTAACTTCAGTGTCGTCTTTGATTGTATGGCACCCAGCCAACCCTGCAGAGAAAATCATTCGAGTTCTGTTTCCTGGAAATAGCACCCAATACAATATCCTGGAAGGACTGGAAAAACTCAAACATTTAGACTTCCTAAAACAGCCCCTAGCTACCCAGAAGGATCTTACTGGCCAGGTGGCCACCCCTGCTGTAAAACAAGTAAAGCTGAAACAGAGGGCTGACAGCCGAGAGAGTTTGAAGCCTGCCACAAAACCAATTCCTAGCAAATCTGTGAGAAAGGAGTCTAAAGAAGAAGCCCCTGATGTCACAAAAGCTAATCACGTAGAAAAGCCGCCCAAAGTTGAAAGTAAAGAAAAGGTAACAGTGAAAAAAGACAAACCAGTCAAAACAGAAACCAAGCCTGCAGTGACGGAAAAGGAAGTGTCCAGCAAAGAAGAGCAGCCTCCAGTGAAAGCTGAGGTGGCTGAAAAGCAAGGCACAGATGTCAAACCCAAAGTGGCCAAGGACAAGATAGTGAAAAAAGAAACAAAGGTAAAATCGGAAGAAAAGAAAGAGGAGAAAGAAAAGCCAAAGAAGGAAGTGGCTAAAAAGGAGGACAAGACACCTGTCAAGAAGGAGGACAAACCAAAAAAGGAAGAGGTGAAGAAGGAAGTCAAAAAAGAAATCAAGAAAGACGAGAAAAAAGAACCCAAGAAAGAGGTTAAGAAAGAAACACCATTGAAGGAAGTCAAGAAGGACGTTAAGAAGGAAGAAAAGAAAGACATTAAAAAGGAAGAAAAGGAACCAAAAAAGGAAATTAAGAAACTTCCCAAAGATATAAAGAAATCATCTACTCCTCTATCCGAAGCAAAGAAACCTGCTGCATTAAAGCCAAAAGTTTCCAAGAAGGAAGAGTCTGTCAAGAAAGATTCTGCTGCTGCTGGGAAACTAAAGGAGAAGGGCAAAGTTAAGGTCATTAAGAAGGAAGGCAAGGCCACAGAGGCCGCAGCTGCAGTTAGTGCTGCAGCCACCACAGTGGCCATGGCGGCGGCAGCTGCAGCAGCCACCACTGGCCCTGCCAAAGAGCTTGAAGCTGAGCGGTCTCTTATGTCATCCCCTGAGGACCTAACCAAGGACTTTGAGGAGTTAAAGGCAGAAGAGGTGGATGTCGCGAAAGACATCAAGCCTCAGCTGGAACTGATTGAAGACGAAGAGAAACTGAAGGAAACCGCACCAGTTGATGCCTATGTCATCCAGAAAGAGACAGAAGTTATCAAAGGTCCCGCCGAGTCTCCCGATGAGGGAATCACCACCACTGAAGGAGAGGGTGAATGTGAACAAACCCCTGAGGAGCTCGAGCCAGTTGAGAAGCAGGGGGTAGACGACATTGAAAAGTTTGAAGACGAAGGAGCAGGTTTTGAAGAATCCTCAGAGACCGGAGACTATGAAGAGAAGGCAGAAACTGAGGAAGCAGAGGAGCCAGAAGATGATGGTGAAGAAAATGTATGTGTGAGCACTTCCAAGCAGAGCCCCGTGGAAGAAGAGGAAAGCGCAAAGGCTGAGGCAGACGTCCATATCAAAGAGAAGAGGGCATCTGTGGTCAGTGGTGATGACCGAGCAGAAGAAGACATGGATGAAGCAGTGGAAAAAGGAGAAGCTGAACAATCTGAGGAGGAGGGTGATGAGGAGGAGAAGGCCGAAGATATCCGAGAGGAAGCATATGAGCCTGAAAAAGCTGAAGCTGAAGATTACGTGATGGCTGTGGTTGACAAGGCTGCAGAGGCTAGTGGTGTTGAGGATCAGTACGGATTCCTCACCCCATCAGCCAAACCAGCGGAAGCCCAGTCTCCTGCCCGAGAACCTGCATCTTCAATTCATGATGAGACTTTACCTGGAGGATCAGAGAGTGAAGCCACTGCTTCTGATGAGGAGAATCGAGAAGACCAGCCTGAAGAATTCACTGCCACCTCTGGCTATACTCAGTCCACCATTGAGATATCTAGTGAGCCCACCCCCATGGATGAGATGTCTACTCCTCGCGATGTGATGAGTGATGAGACTAACAATGAAGAGACAGAGTCTCCATCTCAAGAATTTGTAAATATCACCAAGTACGAGTCATCGCTGTATTCTCAGGAATACTCCAAACCTGCTGTTACATCACTGAGTGGATTATCAGAAGGTTCAAAAACAGATGCCACCGATGGGAAGGATTACACTGCTTCAGCCTCCACCATCTCACCACCATCATCCATGGAAGAAGACAAATTCAACAAGTCTGTGCTTCGTGATGCCTACTGCCCTGAAGAGAGTGCTGTGAAGGCCAGCGCCATGTTAGACATCAAAGACTCCCTCTCGGCAGTTTCAGACGAGAAACTTAGCCCATCCAAGAGCCCAGGCCTGAGTCCATCTCCACCATCACCCATAGAAAAGACCCCCCTGGGTGAACGTAGTGTGAACTTTTCCCTGACACCCAATGAGATTAAAGCCTCAGCGGAGGCAGAAGCAGTCCCAGTGTCTCCTGAGGTGACACAAGAAGTAGTTGAAGAACATTGTGCTAGTCCTGAAGATAAGACCCTGGAAGTGGTGTCTCCTTCTCAATCTGTGACTGGAAGTGCTGGCCACACACCTTACTACCAGTCGCCCACAGATGAGAAATCCAGTCACCTTCCCACCGAAGTCATTGAAAAAACACCAGCAGCTCCAGTGAGTTTTGAATTCAGTGATGCCAAAGATGAGCATGAAAGGGCTTCCATTAGCCCCATGGATGAACCTGTGCCTGACTCAGAGTCTCCTATTGAAAAGGTTTTGTCTCCTTTACGGAGCCCTCCCCTAATTGGATCCGAGTCTGCATATGAAAGTTTTCTAAGTGCTGATGACAAGGCTCCTGGAAGATGTACTGAAAGCCCCTTTGAAGGAAAGAACGAAAAACAAGTCTTTTCAGACCGTATCAGTCCAGTTTCTGCCATGACTTCCACTGGTCTTTTCCAAGCTCATCAGGAAGGGAAAAGCACAGACTTTATACCAATAAAAGAAGATTTTGGTCAAGAAAAGAAAACTGATGATGTTGAAGCCATGAGTTCTCAGTCGGGACTGGCTTTAGATGAAAGGAAGTTAGGAGGAGATGTTTCTCCTACACAAATAGATGTCAGCCAGTTTGGATCTTTCAAGGAGGACACCAAGATGTCCATTTCTGAAGGTACTGTCTCAGACAAGTCAGCCACTCCTGTTGATGAGGGTGTAGCAGAAGATACATACTCCCATATGGAAGGGGTGGCCTCAGTCTCCACAGCTTCTGTGGCTACCAGCTCATTTCCAGAGCCAACAACAGACGACGTGTCTCCTTCTCTGCATGCTGAGGTTGGCTCTCCTCATTCCACAGAAGTAGACGACTCCCTTTCAGTGTCTGTCGTGCAAACCCCTACCACTTTCCAGGAAACAGAAATGTCTCCTTCTAAAGAAGAATGTCCAAGACCCATGTCAATTTCCCCACCAGATTTCTCCCCTAAAACAGCCAAATCCAGGACACCAATTCAAGATCACAGATCTGAACAATCCTCCATGTCTATTGAATTTGGCCAAGAATCTCCAGAGCACTCTCTTGCTATGGATTTTAGCCGACAGTCTCCAGATCACCCTACTGCGGGTGCAAGTGTGCTTCACATCACTGAAAATGGGCCAACTGAGGTGGACTACAGTCCGTCAGATATGCAGGACTCCAGTTTATCACATAAGATACCACCGACGGAAGAGCCATCTTACACCCAAGATAATGATCTTTCTGAGCTCATCTCAGTATCTCAGGTCGAGGCCTCACCATCCACCTCTTCTGCACATACCCCTTCTCAGATAGCTTCACCTCTCCAAGAAGATACTCTATCTGATGTTCCTCCCAGAGATATGTCCTTGTATGCCTCACTCACCTCTGAAAAAGTACAAAGTTTGGAAGGGGAGAAGCTCTCACCCAAATCTGATATCTCGCCACTCACCCCAAGAGAGACCTCTCCTTTATACTCACCTGGTTTTTCAGATTCTACCTCTGCAGTCAAAGAGAATGTAGCAGCCAGCCATACTTCCTCTCTTCCACCAATGGATGCAGCATCCACAGAGCCCTATGGCTTCCGTGCCTCAATGTTATTTGATACAATGCAACACCATCTAGCCTTGAACAGAGATTTGAGCACATCTGGTGTAGAGGACAATGGAGGATTGAAGACACCTGGTGACTTCAGCTATGCCTATCAGAAGCCTGAGAAGGCAACCAGGTCCCCAGATGAAGAAACTTATGACTATGAGTCTTATGCAAAAACCACCCGGACCCCAGAGGTGAGTGGCTATTACTATGAGAAGACAGAGAGAACCACAAAATCCCCCTCTGACAGCGGCTACTCCTATGAGACAGTTGAGAAAACCACCAAGACTCCTGAAGATGGCGGCTATGCCTATGAAATTACGGAAAAGACGACACGGACCCCGGAAGAGGGTGGGTACTCCTATGAGATAAGCGAGAAGACCATAAGGACCCCCGAAGTGAGTGGTTACAGTGGTTACTACGAAAAGACAGAGAGGTCTAGAAGGCTCCTGGATGACATTAGCAATGGCTACGATGACTCTGAAGACGGTGGTCACACACTCGGGGATTGCAGCTACTCTTACGAGACCAGCGAGAAAATTGCCAGTTTCCCAGAGTCTGAAAGTTACTCTTATGAGAAATCGACTAAAACTACCCGAACCCCCGATGCTTCCACATACTGTTATGAGACGGCAGAGAAAATCACTAGAACCCCCCAGGCATCTACCTATTCCTATGAGACGTCAGACCAGTGCTACCCTGCAGAAAAGAAGTCTCCTTCGGAGGCTCGCCAGGATGTTGACTTATGTCTTGTGTCCTCCTGTGAGTACAAGCATCCCAAGACCGAGCTCTCCCCTTCTTTCATTAATCCCAATCCTCTTGAGTGGTTTGCCAGTGAAGAGCCAACTGAGGAATCTGAAAAGCCCCTCACCCAGTCAGGGGGTGCCCCTCCACCTCCAGGAGGGAAGCCACAGGGGCGACAGTGTGATGAAACCCCTCCAACCTCAGTCAGTGAGTCGGCCCCATCCCAGACCGACTCGGATGTCCCCCCAGAGACTGAGGAGTGCCCCTCCATCACAGCCGATGCAAACATTGACTCCGAAGACGAATCAGAAACCATCCCCACAGACAAAACCGTCACATACAAGCACATGGACCCTCCTCCGGCCCCCATGCAAGACCGCAGCCCTTCTCCACGACATCCTGACGTGTCCATGATGGACCCGGAGGCCTTGGCCATCGAGCAGAATCTGGGAAAAGCTCTGAAGAAAGACCTGAAGGAGAAGACCAAGACCAAAAAGCCAGGTACGAAGACCAAGTCCTCTTCACCTGTCAAAAAGGGTGATGGGAAGTCAAAGCCTTCTGCGGTTTCCCCAAAGCCAGGGGCCTTGAAGGAATCCTTAGATAAGGTGTCTCGGGTGGCTTCTCCTAAGAAGAAAGAATCTGTGGAAAAGGCCACGAAAACCACGACCACGCCTGAGGTCAAAGCTGCACGTGGGGAAGAGAAAGATAAGGAGACAAAGAATGCTGCCAATGCCTCCACCTCCAGATCTGTGAAGACGGCCACTGCAGGTAGGCGAGGCCGAGTGCTGCCCCACCAGGCCGTGTTGCGCTCAGCCACCGCCTGGGACTCACCCTTCCGTTTGACTTTGTGCTGGGAAGGTGAGAGAACACAACCTGGTGCTCTCCCTTCCCTCGCTCTTCTCTTCTGCCCAGAGGTATAAAGCTCTGTCCAGTGTGGCCCTTAGGCTTGGAGGCAGTGCAGCAGATGGTACAGGGCAGCTCCCATTCACCAGATGCAGCTCCTGGGTCTGCTGCTTTCTGTAACACAGCAACTACAGTCCTGTTCTAAAGTTTTAGAACCAAGGATGTAGGTTGCACTCTTCCTGGAAGACTGCTGGCACTGGCTTCAGCCATGCTGACCCCAGAATCAAGACAAGGTGACTGAGGCTAGGCTAGATATACATCCCCATTGAAAGCAATGCTTGTTTTCCTGTTACCAGCAGGTACCATAATGCCATTTGATCAGTTAGAAATTGAGAAAAAAAGAATGGAAGTTTCCTATCCCCTTGACTCCAGGCAGATTCAGAGTTCTGTTTCAAATCAAAATTCTGCTTAGCAGGGACAGATACACCTGATTTTTGATCATTCCTGCTTCCATCCCGACTCCCAGGTTTATCAAGTTCTCAGCAATGATGAAACAGGTCTCTGACACCCAGCTTCATTTCATTGTTCGAAACCAATCATAGGGATTTGCATTAGTATATTTTGTTTGCTTGATGTAGTTATTCAGAGATTTCATATCACATTTCGCACAAAAATATTAACTGACCCAAACATGTAAAGCAAAATAGTAATATCAATGAATTTCCTATTTCATTAGGGAAAATCTGATAGATGAAACTTTGAGACTCTCAAACTTGGTACATTTTAAGAAATATTAGTTACAGCTGCAAATTTTTATTTTAAGCAACAAGGAGCACCCATATCAACACTTAGGTCTTATCAGATTTCCTCTTTGAAGATGTATGTATAAAGCAAATTGAATTTGTTTATATTTAGAATTGATGGCAAACCACCAGAAGTTAACCTTTTCTTCTGAAAGGGTGGTCTTAGGCTTAGGAGAAAGTGAAATTTAACGTTTCTGAAATTTGCCACCTAAGCCAGCCTACCCAATAGAAATTTAAATTTTTTTTTGTCATTTAAAGAGATTTTAAAGACAAAATAATAAAAATCAGATGAGTTAATTTTGAATTTTTTGAAGATATTTTTCCAGTCGATTTTTAAAAAGACAAAATTATACTATTAATTTTGAAAACAAACCTGGTCAGTGTTTGGCTGTTCTCTCAATGCTGCTTCTGAGCGGTCCTGTGGTGTTGATGGTAGTGATTTAGTGTGCCAGGGGAAATTGCAGATATTTTTAATTATTAGAATAACCATAATTCACAAACTTCTGCTACCAACAAAAGTCCACACAAGGATATTTTGAGGACTTATAGCTCAGACGCATAAAAATGGCTCATCTATTCCGAAATCAAGTCAGAGTATCCAGATCCTAGTTTGGCTGACTTTGCTACTCCGACAAGCTTCCTAAACTGGACAGTTGATCAGTTGATAGAATTCATTGGTGGTTTTGACTCTGGGATGACAGTCTTTAAAGATTCCATGGAAAAGAGAAAAGATTAAATATGTAGGCTCCCAACTGGTATTTTAAATGGCTTAACAGCAGTGGTTTCAAACCAGCTGCACAGTAGAATGATCCAGAGTGATTTTAAAGATGATGGTGCCCAGGTCTTACCCCAACCCAGTTAAGTCACTGGGGCATGGGGCCTGCACATTAGTACAAGCATGCTAGGTGATTCTAGTTAATGCTTTAGACTGCAAATTCTGTTATTATCTAAAAAAAAAACAAAAACAAAAACAAAAAACAAAACTGGAACAAGTCAGAAAGGTACCGGGGATCTGGAGTTAAGCTGAATTTTACTTTGCCCAGACTTCATTAGGGTAAGAAATTTGACTGCCAGATGGTCCTTTCTCAGATCCAGCGTGTGCTGACTGGCCCTAGTCTTTTGAAACTTTTGTTGCAGAAGTTAGTTATTAGCTTTTGCCTGGGCAGAGAAAGCTCCCATTTCAGAACTGTACAGCGCTGTATTTCATTAGTTTGAGAGCAACATTGAGGTGCTGAGTGCCTTGTCTTTCAAATCTGTTTTATACTTAGATCACTCTTCAGATTAACATACAAATTAGTAGCTCTCTCAAGAGTGTTACTATCTAGTTCCATCCTTTGGGAAGGCCTTCTTCTTACTTCCTAAGGGGTTGCTTGTCCACACAGGAAAACCATCCATTCATTTCACTGTTCTGTTCTCCAGACTTGCAGGTCCTTCCTGTGGCCAAGTAGGGAAGGACTGCTGGGTGGGCACTTCCAGACCTCTTCATATTCCGTGAGCCTGGTTTTCACTTTGCTTTTGTTTATTCATCAAAGGGCCAGGAACCACCAAGACAGCCAAACCCTCAGCTGTGCCTCCAGGCCCCCCTGTATACCTGGACCTGTGCTACATTCCCAACCACAGCAACAGTAAGAATGTTGATGTGGAGTTTTTCAAGAGAGTGAGGTCATCCTACTACGTGGTGAGTGGAAATGACCCTGCTGCCGAGGAGCCCAGCCGGGCTGTTCTGGACGCCTTGTTGGAAGGGAAGGCTCAGTGGGGCAGCAACATGCAGGTAAGAGCCCAGCACCACGGGGCCGTGTCCAGAGGCAGAGGGCAGGAAGCACAATGGTTGTGTTTGTGGATCCACGTGAGGTGCCCCACGGGTGTGTCACACGTGAACTATCCTGACAACAGAGAGGGTTTCACACACAAGAAAATCTAAACTCTCCTTGGCACAATCCACAGCGTGGCCTGGGGGAAGACCCACTTTATCGCCCTGGGGGCATAATTTATGTATCTGCATAACAGGCCCTGCATTCCCTGCCCTTTCCCAGGAATACGCCAAGAGCATGTGTGTGAATCAAAGTGGTCACCTTTCCATGAGGAAGCTGCTAAAGAATTGTTTTCAAATGTGGCCACTTAGAAAGCCAGCTTGTCCATGTGGAGTCCACAGGAGGGGCTTTGCTGGAATGGTATCCAGAGGACACTCCAACTCCCAGGCATCTGTGGCTGGCGATGAACTTCTCTTTATTATTTCCACCGTGATTTTTGTTTATCTAAGTTTTCCTCATGGTTCTATACAGTCACTGAGTAAACTCATTGAGTCTCCATGGGATTGCATGACATTAACTAGAATAACTTATTGTTTAATCCTGTATAACCCAATGAGAAGCACTCAATGGCCTCTTCAGGAATAGTAGGTGCAATTTTTATTCTTCAGAACTATACCCACTTAACCACCCACTCCGCTATTTCCAGGCACACATATAAATTACATTTTTATCCTCAGTACGAAATGTTAGTTACAAACAATTAGAAGACTTTGGACTGTTACAACTACAGTTCCTTGAATTAAATATGCATTGTCTTTAAAATAAAACTGACCCCTTCTATTACAACACCTTGTGTTAATGGAAATAGAAGCAATTGCACCTTAACTAACATAAAAGAATTAGAAACACTGATGGTGAATAGGGATGAATTAATTGACTAGTCATTAGTTGCTTTTGATTGCAGTCTTCAGACTAATTTTTAATATTTTGGTAGCATCATTCTGTTTCCTGGAAAAGGTAAGTTGAAAAGTCCTTTTCTAAAAGGAAACAGAAATCTTTCCTTTCTTCCCTTTTCCTTTTCTAACTAGTACCTAGTTATTGTTCCTTTTTTCCCATTTGATTTCTAGCTCTGCCCTTACATGGCCATTTTCTCTCTCCCTCCAGGTGACCCTGATCCCGACTCATGACTCAGAAGTGATGAGGGAATGGTACCAGGAGACCCACGAGAAGCAGCAGGACCTCAACATCATGGTTCTAGCAAGCAGCAGCACCGTGGTGATGCAAGATGAATCCTTCCCTGCATGCAAGATTGAACTGTAAAAAGCTAGGCCAGCCACACCACAGGATTTGAACTATGTTTCCAGAAATTCCTCAATTTGAATCCACCTTTTCTAAAATGTCAATTCATCTAAATAAGTCGCTGAACTGTTACCTGCCAAACGCTATACTGTGTCATGGTGATGCAAGTCACCACAATTTCTCACTTTTTGCTGATTGCTAAGGGAAGTAACAGTATTCCCACAGTAGGGTTCAAGTTACTGCAAAATTACCTACCCCAGTTCATCTCTGCTGAACATTTGGAAACCATGCACTAGCAAACCCAACTGACTTCTGCTAGATAGAGGCATTTGTCTTAGAGAGAGATCAAGAAGGAGAGTGAGAGAGAGGGAGAGAGAGAGAGGACGCGCGCGCACAGAAAGAGAGACTGTAGGGGAGAGAGAGAGATGAGAAAGGAAAGGAATGCAAAGGAAGGAGATGTAATGACAGAGAGTGCTGGTGAGATACCCAGAAAGAGAGCAGAGAGGGGTAAGGAGGAGAAAAGAACCAACAGTTAGGTCTGCATTTTCTCAGACAGTCTGTATTCTGTAGTCCACACAGGCAGTTTTCAACTGAGTCATCAAAAAGGGTGTCAATTTTCTAAAACAGGTCAACAGGAAGAAAGCAAGAGAACAAAACTTGTCACGAGGGCGTGTGGGATTTTCACACCTGAAGCCCTTCAGTTTGAAGGCTGCACACTGACATAACCAAGTGTAGTGTAGACTGCACATGCAAGTGGTTAGAGCCCCCCCCCAACTCTCGGCCTCTTCAGATACACGAGTAGATCAATCTAAGGCATGCTCCCAACATTTGTACATCCAGTCAGTCCACTGAGTCAATTAACCTGCATGCAGAAACACCCAAGCCCACCCTAGTTAACAAGCAAATACCAAAGCGGTTGGGAGTACATACATAGACAATTTGCCTTAGAAAGTGACTTGAATGTACAAAGATACTTTGATGCACTTATTTTTTAATGTGAGACAGCAAGTTTATAAAACATCCATGTAGGATTATAGGCACTCCAGCTAAGGAGCATGTGTGTGCGCGTGTGGGGTATTGAAGCGGATCTGAGGGGTGCAACGGTTTGGTGGTCACATGTGTGGAATACCACCTCTGCACCCATGTGCCACGGCCAGATGCGTTGACCCTTTCCTTGCTTCACTACTACTGCAAGTTCAAGACTGACATGGCTTTGATGACCAGAACTGGGAAAACAGTGAATCTTAACGGTGGAAGAGTTTCTCAGCAAGTGTACAGTATTTACCTTCCTTTGTCTTACATTGGCTTTTTTTTTTTTAATTTTCCATTAATTTTAGCACAATTATGGGAACAAGTGTACAGAGAATCTTTTTTTTTTTTTTTTTTTTTTAGCTATGTGAGAACTTTTCATAGATGAACTTTTTCATACATGTTTTCATTTACAGGAAAAAGCAAAATTTTCAAATGAGTTTTTTTTAAGTGTTTCATAAGACAAAACAATGAATTTTTGTTTTTTTATTCTTTTTAGTTCTGGTGAGATTGAAGTCTGATACTGCAGTAATACTATTTATTAAAAACCCATAACAACCAGGAATAGCTAATTGAGAGTGGGGAGAGGGCAACGATAGGCTACCTTCCCAGACCAGTACAGGAACATCACCCCCTGGTATCACACACACACTTCTTTCACGATCTTCGACCCTGAGGTAAAAGAGCCAAGACAAGTTCAAAGAACCCTAGTGAAAACTGGCTTTGGGATTTTCTTTTCTGAAGAAAAAATTCATCGAAAGCAAATGAACCCCCAGCTCCTGAGGCTCATCATGTAGAGTTCAGAGATCATTTCCATCGTTGTCATCATTGAACTATGAACCTGGGAAGTGGACTCATGATTAAAACTGACATCCAGTTTCAAGTTCAGATCAGTGCACCGCGTTCAGCCATGGCAGGTGTCTCAGTGACACCCATGCTGGGCTGCGTCACCCTCCGTCTCCTGCAGACTCTGCGATCTATGGAGTTTAGTGAACAATGACCTCATTTTATTTTCTATGTTAGTTATTTATTTCAAGATTAACATTTTAGTTTATTTTTGTCTGATAAATGTGTGTTTTGCACTGCTAAGTACTATGAGGGTTTAAACAATGCTTCTTCGGGGTCCCTTCACTGTGGGCCTATGCAGTCTACTTAACGCTGTGAATTACATTTTTCAAATGTTTAATTTTTTAAAAGAATTAATATTCTATTTTTTTTAGACTTCTCTAGAAATGCAGCTTTTATTTATTACCCTGTTTCTTTCAGGTCCTTAAGAACAACACATTGAGGGTACAATTTATGAAATGCAAAAGTCATTGTGACAAAAAAGGACTTCATTGAGTATAAACTCATTACTTAAAAGTTATTTTTGAGCAAAACTAAGATACTCAATATAATTATTTAGTGGTTAGTTGTTGAGTTGGTCCACATAATGCATGGGAAGAGAAACAGATTTCCAGCCTTCTTGCCAAATTCAGACCTCTGGTTGATCTTTCTTTGATAGAAGATGGAATTATTTTCTGATTTCCCAAGTTAAACTTATTTAACCTGTACATTATTTTACCTTAAAATATATATACTTTTTTGAGACTGAACCCAATCTTCAGTGATAAATACTCCACCCCACTCCTTTTTTTCCCATTTTCTTTTTCTGCTATAGGATTTAATGGGAAACATACAGAAAAGCTGTCACTGATCAGCTGGCTCCTTTTCCTATGAAACGTATCAGTAGCTTTCTCCATCCATACTTCTCCGTGATGACCACAGAGCCTGAGTACGCCAGAAAAAACGTTTGCATTATAGGTTGTTCCTGTCCTTCCAGACATCTTTCCTACCTGTGTGACTAACCTAATTTTGTTAGTTCCATAAATACCTGATTAGTTTAGTAACAGCCATCACAGTGCACCGTGTACATTCATGGTGAGAGCTGAAGATTGACACAGACTTGTAGAAGTTTTACTCACTGATTACTTAATCCAATTGTATAGATTGAATATTTGAGTGGAAGGAATTTGCACTCTGTGTAGATGATGGGATTCCATCAAGATAGCACTCATGATCATGACCTTTTTGGTAGTATTCTTAAACAAAATTATACAAAGACTAAATGTTAGAGACGATCCTCCATTTTCAATTTTAACTAATTCTCTCCCCCTCTCAGACCCCAACTCCCTGTGCATGCTTTCTCAGTCTTGTGGTGGGACTGGATACAAAGACTGAATCCCTCTCCTTGCCCCCCTCCCCCCCGCATTTTCCATGGAGTTCAAAATTTTTTCTTTTCTTACCTTACATATAATAGTGAATGGTTTCCCCAGTGTAGATGAATGTTTTAAGTGTCTCCGATAGATTATGCCATTTAGGAGCTTTCCACTGCTCATTTAATGAGATCTACTCATTTGCTAATGGAAAGTTTACCACCTTCCATTTTCCCTCTGTTACCAAATTTCAGCTCTCAGGAGCTGCTTTGTAATTCTGAAATTGCTTTTCTTGCCTCTTTTTAGTCATCTGTCACAAGAGGTTCTTGCTCAGTAATGATATTGTGATTTAGATTAATAGCTTTTCTTTTTTTTTAATTTTTTGGCGCTTCAGATTGAGAAGAACAGATCTGTTTCCATTTGAAAGGAACTGTAAGCATTTCTCTTAACCAACTGAACAATACACCAAAAGCCGCCTAGCAGTGAGCATTTCTTTGAAAGCAATTAGGTTATTCACCTGATATTAAACTACTAAGAAAATCTGTGACTTTATTAAGTTCATTTAAAAGGCAACATTAAAAACTGAAAAGGGGAAAAAATAGCTTCTCTGCACTCATTTGGATCTCCCCAGTAGCAGAAGCCTTCAAGATGAGACATCAAGACCAGGCTGCTCTTCGGAGAACACCCCAGGCAGGTCCAGTCTGGCGTCCAGCGTGGCCAGCAGCCCTGCTCTTTAGGCCTTGGGCTGAGGGTTCTGAGCCCAGCTGAGAAGCACCTCCCACTCCTCTCTCTTGTTCTGAATGGTGTTTGTGTCAGTCTGCAGCTGTGTATGGTATTATGTCTTATAATCCTGCATCACTTCTATCCTATCCAGTCATATCTAATGTAGAAAATTAGTTTCCAGTGAAAGTAATATGTAGTGCTTTTATGATATTTGTGTGCAATATCCCCTCTTCCATTGAGGATATTTGATGTAAAAGAAAAAAAACTCAGTTCCACAATAAAATACAAAAGTGGCAAAAGTTCACGTGTGTGCTGTGCTATTGTTTGTTACTGAGTTGAGCACACCAGACACTGGGGTTGGCCACTTCTAGTGGGAGGGGGAAGGTGGCTGGGACATTGGGTCATTTGGGGAGACCAGCTTCCTTTAGTATGCTGTTTTGGCAAGCCACTGAGAGGAACCTACCCCCAATTTCTATAATTGCCACCTCATTATCTTTTATAGCCAAGCCTTAAAGGATGATGGGGTCAAACAGAAGTGAAGACAATTAAAAATGCTTTAAAAAACAACAAAAGGAAAAGGGTTACTTACTTGTTACCCCTCTGATCAAGAGCTTTCTGTCATTATCTGACAATAAATTTATATTTTGCCTTAAAAAAAAGAAGAAGAAGAAATTAAAAGACTAAGGCATTTGGAGGCTTATGCAAAGCAAAGCGTGTTATTAGCTCAGCCACACCTGGTGCCCTAACCTCAGTTACTTTGTATAGAGTCCTTTTCTCTCCTTGTAAAATAAGAGGATTGGATAAGATAGTCAAACTGGATGGTACCTTCCAAGGCTGATTTGCAGGGCTCTACAAAGTCATCATACTTGGTAACTACAACCAATACCTAATTTCCCTTTTTGTTTTTTGCTCAGATACAGAATAGGCTCTATCCAGCTAATATATACTGTGAGTTGGATCCACAACCAGGAGCTAAAAGTTGTTGAGGAAAAGTGATGATAACTAATAATAGTGGGAAAAGGAGGCATTCCTTTCAGACAAAATGATGGTGGTGTACTTTTAGTATATATCCAGCAGGGGAGTTAAAAGAGAAGAAAAACTCCCTAACTGAATGGGGTAATGGAGCACCCAAAGTCAAGGGTGAGTTTAAGTGACTATAGAGAAATGATGTCTGAGATGAGAGAGAGAGAAGAAACTTAAAGCAGATTCCATCTCTATCTCCCCACCACTGGTCTGCACTCCAGCAGTCTGATAATTGCAGTTGGCACCTAAGGAGTTTTTCATTTCTATGTCTGATTCAACAACTATGTTAATCATTTCTACCCCTACCTCCAGTTTCTGGTCTTAGGATGCTGGCTCTTAGCCCCTATCAGTTATATGGTGTGCTTGTTGAAGAGCTTGGAATCTGCCCTGGGGTCACACCTTCCTTGCCACTTACTGTGTGAGGGAAGTTGCTCCAGTCTTAGTTTTCTCCTTTGCAAAATGTAATTCATGTCCTGTGTGGGGTCATTGCCAAGATTAGAGAGTATGTACTTAATGGTGGAGGTCTACATTCTGTAAAAACAGATTCACAAAGAGCAGTGGCTAACTAAACTGACTTGTTCAAGGTAGATTGGCGAGCTCATGAGTTGGAACCTAGAAAATACTGATCCCCAGTGGTGGTCTCGCATGTGTCCTTGGAGGGAACTTTTAATGGGCATTTTGGACCCACTTTACATATTATCTTAGGCATATTAACTTATCAGCGTGTTTTAAAGACTCAAATTTTGAACTCTGGGGATGTGAAGTATCATGGAAACTGAAAAGCAAGGGAAATTCTCTACCCAACTGGGTATGTAAGAGGACATAATGTCCCTTGAACAAATCCTGTGAAAATCTTCACAGGGCATTTCAAGCCCATAATAGAATGTATTTTCAGATGCTTTTTGTAAGGATAAACTCCTTGTCTTCTGAACATGTCCCTAACATTCATAGGCAACACAAACACAACCCAAGTGTAGCTACTGTCTTAGACAAAGATCCCATGGCAACAGGGAGTCTCAGGGGCCCTGTCACCATCTTTTGTTTGGAATTCTTGTCACCTCAGGTAATAATACCTCAGGGCAGCATGCAACTGCAGCTAAAAGGCTATTTTCAAATTAAAAGCTGTTTTTAGAATAAAAGGCAAATTTCCCAACACAACTGTGTTGAAAATCACTCCTCTTTTCCAAAGTAAGATTTTAAAAGTGTATCATTTTCAGACTTTAAAGAGTTCTGCTTTGAAGGTTGCTAATAACCATTGAAGTAAAATTCAATCACACCATATTTGCTTCTATGATTCATAAAAGCCAAAAGCTCTCTAAATCCATTTCAAACTCTAACCCTCTCTCCCACATCCAAGAGGTTCGTAGGGTGCAAAGGTGTCGTGTTCCACTGACTCATGGGCAATCACATCACAACAGCCTCATTTAAGGCCTCAAGACACCTGGCCCCAAATCCATCTCCCCAGACAGCAAAATCATAGAAATCCCCATCTGCGCACATAATGAGCACATTTAGGAAAAATAATGGCCCACCCTACACCATCATCTCTTTCTATTCAATTAGCCAAGAAATAAGTTCATTATTTGTTCTAATTTGAGAAATATCATTTGTGAGCCCTCTGTATGAGATTAATCTTGCTCCATCTACATCACTGGAAAACTCCCTATGAGAGAACTTAACATCCTCTAGGCCGGAGTTTCTAACCTTGGACTTCTGACAACTACTGGCATTTTGGACCACATAGCTCTCCATTAGGGAGTCTATTCTGTTCACCCTAAGGTGTTTTGCTGTAGCCCTGACTTCTGCTCACTAGATGATATTTTATTCAGAGTGAAAAAAGCAATTTAAATACATTTTCATTACATTAATTTTGATTACGTCTTGTAAAATCTACAACCAACCTTCCACACACATAACTGGTAACTACAGTCAGCATGAAGTTAGGAAAACAAAATGCAAATTTTGATGCCAAGGCAACATAACCCCAAGAGGAATCTGGGTACCTCACCATTGCTTTTTCTTCTCTTCCACCACATGCCATCTACGTTTTAGCCAATGTGGAGCACAACAGGTTTAGTTTAAATAGTTCCTTGAAGTTCAATTTAAAGTAACTTCTCTTGAATATCTACGCAAGACTCCATAGAAAAGAATACCATCTCTACCCCTGGGCAGCTTGAGTCAGATCTATGTGACTAGTGGAAGCATGAAATACAATCATTTCCTGCATTAGAGTTTCTCCCAGGTCTGAGCTTGAATACCTGAATCGCCATCTGTGTCTTTTCTATGATACTCTCCAGCTACACTTAGGTGTCTATATACCTGTCTCCTTGTCTTCACCGGGATCGACATTATTTGATGGTAGGAGTTACAGTTTTCTGTGTAACCTCCATAGCATTTGGTATGGTGCACTGCACACAGTATATAATTGGCAGTCTGTGAAGGTCGTGCTAGAATGGTCTGTTAGTATCCCCAGGTTCATAACGGGGGAGCCAATGAGGCCAAATGGAACAGGGCATTTAAGAGACAGAATCACCACAGGTAATGTGTAGCAGAGTGGAAGCCAAATTACCAGGGGCTAGGGAATAAGCAACTAGCCAGTACTTGAAAATATTCCTGTAAAAAAGCTTAGTGACAAGAGTGGTAGGATAATAATTTGACTGGTGAGAAGATACAAGATTTTGGTGTCTCCCAAAGGGAAAGAGATCTTGAATGAGCATGTAGAGGAAGTCAGAGATGATGCAGGATGGCAAGCACAAGTGTGATGGTTTTGGGACATTTAGGTAAGCAATCAGGTCACAGGTAAAGGGCCTAACTTTGGAAAGGAGGAAGGGAAGGGAAAGGGATGATGGAGAGAATGGGGAGATAGAGACTTGTTAAGGTAGAAAGAAGGGAGCTTGATGTATGTATGGCTTAAATTTTCTTGCTAAGTTAGGACGTAGGAACATCTCAAAAATCTGAGGATAAGGCCTCCCTGGTGGTGCAAAGAGTTAAGTCTCAGCACTATGAAGCTATCCGCTGCCACTGCAGCATGAGTTTGATCCCCAACCAGGGTAAGGGAGCTAACTCCCAGAGTGTAGCAGACCTCTCATCTCACCCAGCTGCTCCCCTCAAGCGGTGCATTTCAATCTACCTATTCTGCTTCCTATTCTGGTGAATCTTTTCACCACCACCCCTCCACCATCCGTTAGCCTACGCCTCAGTTCTTGTATGCATAAATAAGTAGAATAAATCTTTTTTAAAATGTCTGGGGTTTAAGCAGAATAGAAAAGCTCATGAGGTAAAAATGTGGGGACAGTGCAAATTGTAATCAGCCTAATGCAAACAGAAAGCAAATGGTGGTGGATTAATTACCAGGGTCGCTATAAAGAAAGTACCAAAAACTCTGCAGAGCAAAACAGGTTTGGTTGAAATAGTTCATTTAAGTTCAATTTAAAATACTTGGATAGCTACTCTACACATGACTCCATGGAAAAGAGGATTGTCTCCAACATCGGACAGCTCTTGTCAGACCTTCAAAAAAACACAAGAGGAGTCCACAGTCCCCATGCTAGGATTGCGCTCCTGAAGGTGCTAAACCATCCTTCCCTGCCTTCTCCTGTCTCTGGTGTTCACTGGAAATCTGGTACCACTTGGTCATCTTTCTGTCTCCACGTCAGTTTCCTGAATTCCCCTTTTGTGAAAACAGCAGTCATACTGGATGAGGGCCTGCCCCAAGAGCCGCATTACCTCTGAAAAGTCCAAATAAGAATAGATTCCTAGCAATTGAATGATTAGGGTTTTTACAAATCATTTTTGGGATAGTCGCAATTTAACCCATAAGAGTTGGGTCTAGGGCCCTTCCTGGTGGCACAGCAGGTTAAAGCACAGCACTAAGAAGCTAAAGCCACTTGCGCATGTGTTCGATCCCCACCTGCCCCGGAAGGATCCACAAGGTGCGGCAGACTCTCCTAACACATCTGTGGCTCCCCTCAGCAGTGTACTTCAACGATCTGTCTGTTCTGCTCCCCACTCTGTCTCTGGTGAATCCTCTCACTCCCCCTCACCTCTGGCCTGTACCCTAGTTCTGTATGCGTAAATAAATAAATCTTTAAAAAAAAAAAAGTTGGGTCTAAATATGTAGATCTAAGGATTGCAAGTTAGCCTGGATAAAGGGAGAAGAAATTAAAGATGTTGATGTTGAAGAGCTCATTGGTGGAATGACGAACCATGGACCATAGCAGGAAAGAGGGTAAGGTTTGACCTCCTGAATTAAGGATTTGAGTGACGGGGTAAAGTTTAAGGATTTGCAGGCAGAAAGTAACAAGGAAAAGCTGATTTAGAGAAAGATGGGGTGAGTAGGACTTAAGATTCCAAGATTGATATTTAGGAATGAGGCTGGAGGTCTTGCTATGAGTATGGTAGGTCAGTAAGAGGGAAGATTATTTGTTACAATTAAGATCATTCCAGAAGCCAGTATACTGACAGCAGTGACTCACCCACAAGGATGAAATAGAGAAAGTGGCATGGACAGAAATTAAGTCTTCTGTGAAAAGGACAGAGGACATCTTGATTAGATCCAAGGATGTTCTAGGCAGGTGGGAGAGTATCCCATAGTTCAGCAGATGAGAGCATAGGGGGCAGGAAGTAGCTTGGGAAGGAAAGACTCCAAAAGGGAAGAGATCCTGAGAAATGCAGGCATAAGTTTAAGAAGAATCCTGGGGAGCAAGGAGCATGTAAACTCATGCCGAGTGAAGGTATAAGTGGCTGAAGTGATGTCTTTTGGTGAGGATAGAGATTAAGACACAAGAGTGTTGGAGAGGGAGGAAGACAGATGCCTAGTTATGAACTGAACTATGAATCAGGTGCTTCATGCATGACAGTCATGGATTTACTGAGTAAAAGCACCAAGACTTGTCTTGAACCTTTTTTTTACTGTAGGAAGATAGTGGCTGATACACCTGATACACCAAAATGTCAGTCTGACTTTGGTCATGACTCTCTATGTAAGAGTCAGCTGTGCTAGTGTCCAGAACACTGGGTAGGGAGGGCAAGAGCACTGCTAACTTGACCTCAGAAATTAGTTTTTAGTTTCTCATTCAAAAGGGGAATAACAGTACCTCTCATAGGGTTGGCACAGTCAGTCCTCAGTGAACATGAGTGGCTGTTATTATTATACATGTCACAGTCTAATGAGCAGAGGGTTGGATATATGTTGCTCAAAATCACAGTTACTATGATGTTGCAAAACCCCTGTCTCCCTTCCTTCCCCCAGTGATAAAGAAAGCACCCAAATAATCCCACAAGGTTTATTTCCATAGATGCTTGATAAAAGAGCACAAACCTGTATAAGTGTACACCACTGTAATTACAGGCAAAATTACATCGTGAGCAAGAGCTAACCCAAGCCCTTTCACAGGGAAATACAGAAGGGAGTTTTCCACCCCAGACAGCTTTACAATTCTCCTGCATAGGTGAGCCCTTGCTCATCTCTCATATTCTCCAGTTTCTCCTATGGTGTGCCAGAATTGTGCATGTGTGAGCACACGAGGCTCATTTCATCTATTTGACGAAGGAGCTGAGACAATGCTTTGGAAAAAAGTGAACCCCAATATGATGGAGAAGCCACGCCAAGGGGGTTTCAGAGCTAGCAATAGTTTTCTCTTCAGGAGGGCCTGCATTCTAAAATGCCACCATGGTCTCCTAAAATCTGAAAGGCAGTGAGTCTGTGATCTTTGCTTCATTCCCATACTGAACTTTCCCCTTTTCAGGTATGGAAGGAGAAAGCAGGCTGTTTGGGCACCCAGCTCAGAGTGAGAGCTTGCACTAAACGGGAGGCCAAGGAGGACTGGGTCACAGACATTAGTTCCCTCTGCTGGGGCAACAGACACCATTCAGTACTTAAGACCCTTTTCTTGAACCACAGTCTCTCCCACCATCTTCTCTAGGCCTCCGGAACGCCAATGTTCAAAACTGCTCCTTGTCACCCAGGAACTTCCCCATAAGCTTCAAGCTCCTTATTTATTAGCCAGGTCACTTGCCACTTTCCTGACCGTACAGCCCTCTGGCATCTGGATGCCTTGCCAATACACAGAGCTTTGATAATATAGAGTACTTCCAAACCACAGGGTCCAGCTTTGAGAAAAGGAGGTGGAGGAGGAACAGGCGTGCACCAGTCACTGCGATCCTGTGCCGGGGCCGTCAGGCAGATGCCTCTGCAGCTCTTCGAGCCTGGTACTCCTGCTTCGCTTGTTTCCTCTGCTCCTTTTCCCTCTGAATCAACTGCACCCGCTCCAGATGCCACTGCTGCAGCTTCTGCTCGTAAGTGGCCAAGTCCTCTGTTTCACAGGTGGGGAGCTGCTCTCGGACAAGCTCGGTGGTCAGTGTCAAAAGACTTCTGGACTCAACTTTGCCCATAGTTTGAAGCTTAGAAAGTAAGGCCTGTCGGAAACAAAGGGGAAAGAAAGAAGGTGGGCGGGGGCAGGTGGGAGAGGTCTGAAGTCCACTGTGGGACCCCCACACCTGCTCATGGAAAAGGCGCTTTGCTGGGACCTGGGTGTGCTTCCCTTCATCCAGGCACTTAGCTTTTGTTCTCTCTTAGTTTTGAGCAGCAGTTTTGCTCAGATGCATGGATCTCTCCCCCTTCACTTCAAAGATTAAGTGAAGATCCAGGTGCCGTGATTCCTCATGTAACTTCTCAATTTAAACCAAAGCCAGCACGGGTACGACGACAAAGCCACATTTCCACTCTGACCTGAACCAAACCAAACAGAAGTCCCAAGAACAAAGAATCCTACCATGCAAACACAATGGCAGGAGCAACTGATAAATGGGGCAGGCCAGCCATGCCTGTGCCTTCAGAGTAACTGAGATAAGTGTCTGCCTAACCAGTGTTCCTTTTAATAGATGCAAATCATTTCTAGGATTTCTTACTAATGGCATGCTAAACGGCTCCCCGGAGGGCGCGCGCCATTACAAGACCCCACTGCTGTGCCGCGCTCAGGTCAGCCTTCGCGTAGTGACTGCTCACGGCTCCGTGGAAATGGCAGCGCAGTTATTCCATATTGTATTCCTGGAGAAGGAAGAGCTAAAAACACTAATCTACTTAAGTGCTTCAAGATGTAGATCATCAGCGAGAACCACTTAGGGCCCCAGCTGTCGCTCACCCTGCACATCCCCTGTTCCACAGACAAATGCAGTTCACTGGCGGAGGTGACGGGGCTGCTGGACAGGGAGTGAGGGCGGGCAGGGCCCTGGTTTTCAGGAATGGCCGGGGCCCAGTGTGACGGACCAGCCACATAAAATTGAGCAAGAGACTAATAAAAATCAGGCACCAGGAAGAAAAGGAAATGTAAAATGAAAGCAGCTTTTTCTTTCTGACAGGATTCTCCATGTGGTTTGAGGCCAAGGAGACAGCTGAGACACCAGAATGAGGAGTCAGCTTTGAGTCAACAAACTTTAACAGGGAATTACAGTCACTTAGGGACTGGCTCCTCTCAGCCTGTGATGTAGTGTATGCCACCCAGAATTACAGAGAGGATGTATGAAATGCAGTGGTGCCTAATACACAGCTAGCTATCAATAAATATGTCCCTATTTTTTTAATTTTCAAAAAATAAGCATTTGTGGCAGAGTAAGGGCTGCAAGCCCAGATTTCAATTCTCTTAGATTAAAGATGTAAGAAACAAACAAGCAAAAACAGTGGTGGTAATTTTTAGTAGTGATGTGGCAGCCTTGGTTAATATGATTATGGTGAATGAGAATCCATGGAGCTAAGCATATTTTTTTCAGTTTGTTCATCTCTCTAAATCTACAAAGCTATGTATGCAATAAGAGGAAAAAGCAGGTGTGTAAGTTTTAACCTAGTTCTACTGCTAATTCTCTCTGTACCTTGGGAACATTGATTTATCTTTCTTTTTCAGCTTTCAAGTTGTAAAAGAAGGAAAATGAGCAACAACCTTCAGAAGTACTGGGGAAAAGGTCCCATAGCTGGTTCAATATAAATACTGAAAAGATTTACAGGTAGTAATCTGGCAAAATCGACAACTCTGTCCCAACATGGCACTAGAGGTCAGCTGGCATGGATGGTGTGTGTGTAGGGGGGTTGCTTCTTACAAACAATTCCCTTTTAAGCCACACTTTTCCCTCTTTGCACTACGTAGAAGAAAACAAACAGGAAGAGACCAAGGGCTTTGCTTTTGAGCATGGCTCTTCTTCCCTGATGTGATCAGAGTATTTTTGGGGTACACAGCTGAAGGCTACCCAAGAATGCTCAGGGCTGTTATAAAAAGAAACAGTGGAAGCTTCTTTGTATCCTCCATGAGATCCGAGAAAGCACTGCTGATGGCCCCATTCCCCAACACAAAGCCGCCAGCTGAGCGAAGCATATTATCTCCTTGATAATAAAACATGGCTTTGCGATTTTTACCTGGGTTTCTGGGTCACCAAGCACGTTCAGTGCACTATGGAGAATTGACCAGATTCTTTCCACCCAGTGTCAGAATCAGGTGAATTCTGTGAGGAGGCAAGCTATTACCCACCCGTCAGGCACACGTCAGGGATGAGTGGGTAATGACAAGCTGTCTTGGTGAACAAAACTGTGACCGATTAACTCAAATAGAAAGGGAAGCATAAAAATTCCATTTGTTTCTTTTAAGACCACTTCCTGTGCGCGACAATAAAAATGTAATTTTTGATGTCACTTTTTAATGCCTTTGTGCGTGACAGCGATGCATGAAAGGAGGGCTCGAGCAGCACAGTGGGCAGCCAGCCTGACGGCTGCCGAGAGGCACTCGCCTCGGCTCCACCACGACTCACCTGGAATCGCTCCAGGTATTGGGGAAGCTTGGACTGCTCTGTCTCCTCCGTGTCCAGCTGTTCTACCAGCTCTTCTGGGCTCTGGCTGCCGCCACCTCCTTTGGGCTGCTCTTCTGAAGGCTCAGGGGCCGGGGCAGTCAGAGCCTGCAGTGCTCCGCCCAGCACATCGAGCTGTGGGTCACAAAAAGGGGTGGGACTGAACATTCTGTGGGCCCAAAAGCACACGTGAAGAGAGGCTGGGGTAAGGAAGGGAAGGAAAACAGGGATCTAAGAACACAGGAGACGTGTTTCCTTACAACCTGGTAGGAAACAGAGATGGTTATATGACTTTACATTAGAAACACTTTGTTGGAAAATATGGAAAACTGAGTATAAAAAAATGGCACAAGTAAACAAGCTCAGGGCTATCTGTACCAGTGAATCAGCACAGGGCATTTAACTTCAGTGGAATCCAAGAATGATACTCGGTGGGAGTAAGAGTACCTCCCCCTTCCATGTCTTCCTCTACGGAATTGAGAGAAAGGGAAAGAAAAACCATTGTGGGTCACAACCAACCACGGGTCATTTTGAATCTAAGGTAGAGTCTCTGAATATACCTTATATAAGGTAAAGTCTCTGAATAAAGTCTCCTACAGAGATTTTAGTTCACTGGGTATCTATAAACTGGGGATTGGTGCAATCGACATTAGCTGCCAGAAAAGATCAATCAAGCATGCATGAAATTCACTTTAATGAGGTGCTTTCTGTGACTTAGAAAGTAACTAAATTATAAAACAGGGCTTTTTTATGTTTTTACCCTTCCCCACCACTTTCAGTTAGGGGCACATCTCACTCACCCCACAATAGGTCTTATCATCAAGATGGGTTGGAAGCAACCTCAAGGGAAACTTTAATATCCACTGAATGGGCACTGATTAATTCTGTTCACATCACATGAGAACAAAAATCCAGAAAATACTCCAAGGCCTTTTAAAGCTACCACTATATCATACTCAAATCCAATTTTTGTCATCTTCTGAGCCACATTTCTATTAGGTCAGAATACAAAGAATGCAATTCTGGCATAGAGGGGAAGGAATATTTCCCTGGCAAAGGATTTATATATGATTTTGTGTTTTCAATCACTAACACTGAGGGGTAAAAAACATGACAGTATATTTAAAAATATGTATCCTTTGCTATAAACATCTGGCAAAAAACAGAGGTTCAACAGACATTACTACAGTGCAAGCACCAGACTTGCATATCGATGACTGAAATTAGTATCAAGGGGGAATCCCAGTGACCAGATCAAAGTAAAACAAATAAGCTGCTCAAAGTTAACTTGTGCACGCTGGCAGTGAAACCACTTGGCTCTAGGGTAGTGTCATTCTAGCTGCTACAAAAGTTGCCTGGAAAAGAACAGACACTGTGGTTCTCTATGGGGTGTAAATCTTGTCAGTAGCTATAAGAGGTGATGTTTCCTACAACCTGAGCTAAGTCTAGAAACTTCTTTATATTGAGGGCTCTGGGTGACTAAGTGGGATGACTTTGGTGCTAATGGGAGGACAGTTTCCTAGGTCAGCAAAGTGAACACCTTGCAATTTAGGAAGGAACATCTAGATTCACATCTCTGGCATCATACTTTCACCACAGAATGGTTTACTGGAATAATGTGAAACTAGGCCATCTCTGCTCCCCAGATTCCTTTCTTGAGGGCTTTTAAGGAGGGGATGGGTGGGGAGAGATGTCATATAGCCAGTCTCTTTAGGACTACATGAGGGTACAGAAATGTGCAAAATTTAAAAAGAAATCTTACCCTCTCTTGAGCTTCCACTGAGATCTTTTTGAAGAGGAAGGAGTATTATTATTTTATTGAACTAAGTTTGAATTTTATAAAAGAGTTTTTCCTCTTTGACCATGAGCTATAAAATCATTATTAATCTTATTTTCCAGTGCTTTTTCTCAGAAACACTGAGAATGGGTGTGGTTTTTCATTCCTTTTCAACTAGGTAAGTACATGCTTCTATAGAAATAAAGAAAGTAGGAGGAGGAAGGAAGACAAAGAAGACACATTCAGAAATCCACTATGAGCAACAGGAGACCTGAGTCCCACTGAACTAGGGCCAACAACCATACCGCTTCTCTACACAACTTTCCGTCTTCTGGGGCAGAGGCCACCTTCTCCATCACTCGCAGGGCTCTGTCCAGGTACCCTGGCTGCCACAGCAGAGGCATGTTATGGTACACAGCCCGCAGTCCATGCTGCAACTCCACCTTCCCTGTAGCCCAAGAGAAAAATGAAGAAGGCTCAGTCACAGCTTCCCAAAGCTGTGACCCAGGATTTATTTACTCATTTAAAAAGATTTTCTATTTATGTGGAGGGAGAGAGGATTCACCAGCGACAGAGTGGGGAGCAGAACAGGCAGACTGACTGAAACACACTGCTGAGGGGAGCAGTAGGCGAGACAGGAGAGGTCTGCTGTGCCAGGGATGTTACCTCCCTGGCTGGGGATTGAAGTCAGACCGTAGCAGTGACGGCACTAAGACCGTAGGCCACCAGGAAGGCCCATTTTTGTTTCAAGAACAAAATCTTCCCCCAGAGAAAGAAATTTTGTAACTCTCTATAGTGAAAATCTTGTCAATGTCTGACTTTTTCTGCCAGAAAATGTTTGACATTTTTCAAAATGATCCAATCCCACTGAAAAAAACAAACAAACAAACAACTCATTTTGCCCTTCTTTGTTTGAGCTTCAACAGTACTTAAATAATACAGCCTTTATCATCCTTCTGGGTCTTAGGACATGAATATTTCTCATTGTAGGAATTTCCTGTTATCTGAAAAGAATAGTCTTATTTGGTATGATCTGGTTGGGTTCTCTTTGGGTCTGGACCCTTGAAAAAATTTTCCATATACATTAATGGTAACAACATTCCCAGACTCAGAAATAGCCTACCAGTTCAAATCAAATAGGAATGTTCTACTTTCAGAGAGGAGGGGAAACTGGTACCTAAAACCATCTCTATTAGAGCCCAGAACGTGGATGCCCCACGACAGGGCTTCAGGGTGTGGAGAGGGTTTGCCTATGCGCCTGAGGCCCTCTCTACACTAGTGACCTATGTCGCCTTGAGTTGCCAGGTCGTGAAACTACCTTCACTTATATTCCCAAGGAATATTGGGAAAGCTGTAGTAGGACATAAATAGACAAAGCTTATCAGGTGACAGCTAATTTTAGACCTTTAAGATGCTTGGGGCTAGACTGCAGTTACCTCTGTAGCAGCTTCTATCAGGGTTGAGGGAAGCTGCCCAGCACATGACATAGTAAGAGCAAAGACCTTTTGACTTGGTGGTTCCCAGTCCCAGAGTACCAGGGCCTCCGCTCAGAAACAATGACAAACTGCATTTTCTTAGTCCTGACAACAACCTGAACAACTCATGCAGTATAATGGTCCTGAATGTCAGCATGAAAGCAGGGCAAGAATATGTACAGCAAGAGCAGGGTGGGTGGCAACTGAGAAGAAGGTGAAAAATGAGCAGTCGCCCCTTTTACTAGCTGGATAGCCAGGTATAGCTCTGAAATTCCTGGATAGCCAGGTAAGCTCTGAAATTTCTTAGCTTATATCAGAATCAACATCCAGGAAAGCCACGGTATATTCTGTTGCTGAAGATCAACCTCAAAAGCAGTCAAACTACCAGAGCTCCGTAAATTTTCAGAAAACAAAGGTCACAGGAGCAGTAGAGGGTTAGAGAAGAGAAGCAATGCAGATTTAATATAGGATTAAGAAATACCTATTTACGGCCCTCCCTGGTGGTGCAGCGGGTTAAAGCACCGCACTGAGACGCTAAAGCCACTTCGCATGAGTTCGATTCCCGCCTGCCCCGGGGGTGACCACATGGTGTGGCAGACCTCTCCTGACCTGCCCGCTGCTCCCCTCAGCAGTGTGCTTCGTCGATCTGCCTGTTCTGCTCCCCACTCTGTCTCTGGTGAAGCCTCTCACCGCCCCTAAGCCTATGGCCTGTACCCCAGTTCTGTATGTACAAATAAATAAATCTTTAAAAAAAAAAAAAAAGAAATACCTATTTACTTAGACACAGGGGAAAATAGTGAAGCAATATGCTTGTAACAAGCCTCTGTCAGTCAGGACACATTTTATGTGCATTTAGGCTGAATGCTATTTGCCTAGACACCTACCACCCAGGCTCTCAGTCGTCCTTCTGACCTGTCTGACTCGCAGCACAACTTGGGCGTTAAAGTAAAGCTGCCACCTCCCCGAGTGGCACGATTGCACTGTGGCAGTGTGCCCTCACTGCTGTCCCAAGGTGCCACCCCCTGTGCTCTAAGTGTGTCTTCACTCCCCTGTAGAAAATGCCAAGGATATAAGTTCAACACCAATTCCTGATTTCTTACCTACTGGATTTCAGAGCTAAGGCGATGGAGAGATAGTTGCTAATCCTGGAAAAGACTGAGTGGTTTTCCTAAAAGAGGGGAAGAACTTTCTCTTCTTTCTCCCTTCTTCACACTGACTGCCACGAGCTCTCACTCCGCAGTGGTGACAAGTCTAAGAGTCTTCCTGGCTGACCTAGATCATAACTGTAAGGCCGTCAAGATCCTCCACTGTGTCTAAAATCGACAGTTTTCTTGGAATTTACCCAGTATGTTTAAATCAAATCAGAATTTTATTATGAGTAAAAGAAAGTACCAATTTTACCCACAAAGAATAGTATTTGTATGAATTCTTAGCTTACCAAGAAGTGCATAGCCATATAACTGGGAACTGAGTCCCACTGAATTCTCTTGCTTTAGGCCTGGGAGTAACAGAGCTGCACCGAAGTTCCTCTCCTCTTCCCACTGCAACAGAACATACCAGATATGGTCCAGATAAGCAGTGGATACTCTATGCAAAAGTATGATTTTTAATGATATGGAGGAAAAAGAAGATAGCATTAAATAAGGAAAATAAAAAGCCCAGGCACATATAACCCTGATTTTGCAAATAAAAGGTATTTATGTTTAATGAAAAATACAGAAAATATATGTCTGTATAACAAGAAATCAACGTAAGTTATGTTGATAGGTTTCTGAGTAGTGAAATATGCACATTTTTTGGCTTTTATACTTTTCTCGCTTCAAATGAATGGAATGCCTTTTATGGTCAAGGAGGCAAAACAAAAATAAAAAGTGTACTCTGGACCAACAATACCTTGAGACAGTCAATAAAGATTAATGTGCTGGGTCCTCTCTGGTGGCGCAGCAAGTTAAAGCACAGCAGTGAGAAGCTAAAGTCACTTTAGCATAAGTTCAATCCCCACCCTGGAGGTGACCCACATGGTGTGGCAGACCTCTCCTGTCTCGCCCGCTGCTCTCCTCAGCAGTGAACTTGTCGACCTGCCTGTTCTGCTCCCTACTCTGTCCCTGGTGAATCCTCTCACTGTCCCTGCACCTCTGGCCTATATCCCAACTCTGTGTGCATAAATAAATAAATCTTTATTTTAAAAAAAAGATTTAATGTGCTATTGGTGCCATACACAACACATTGCCATGATGTGATGAGCAAGTTTCTGAATCTTATACAATTTAACAATGATAAGACTCCTACTTAACAGTGTGAAAAGAAATACAATTACTAGGTTGCTTTTAGATAGATTTGTTCTTCCCCAAAAAATAAACTAGGCAATCAGAAACATTTAGTGACTATTTCTCTCAACCCAGGGTGCAAAATTACACTTCAGTGAAATTGGACCCTTTTGACACATGGAGATAAAAGGGCAAGAACACAGGCGTTACTAAGGCTGTTGTAGCAGCAGCAGTGGGCATTCACTGGAAACACAGGCATGGAGGGTAGCCTTGGCTACTGCTCTGAGAACTGTGATCTCGGTGCCAGAGGAGCACACCTTGGCCAGAGCCCTCCTGGCTTGGAAGTGCAGAACACCATGCTTAGCTTGCCCAGTTCAGAGGCCAGGGAGGAAGCAGAAAATGGGAGGTCTGCAGTTACAATTGCAGCCAGTTGTAAGAGTGGCACCCAGGGAGCTAGTGGGCAACCAAACCTCTTTATGCTTTTGTGCATGCAACACAAGTATAATTTGCTAAGGTTTTTCTAAACTGTTGAAAAAAAAGCAAAGCTTTTGAGAGAAAAACAAAATTTCTCTAGATGCTTCTGCAACAAAGGCAATGATGGAACATTCAAAAGCAAATCATGCTAAGGTTTGATCCCCACCCCCGACCCCCAACACAGTAAATAGTAAATAAGGAGGCTTAAGAGCTTTTCTTTTTCTTTAGGAGAAAAAAAAATCTATAGTATGATGATACAATCAGGAGGCTAAAAGTCAAATAGCAATATTCTTGCTGAGCTGGAAATGGTGTTGTGTGTGTGCTTTGGTTGACAGTTCCCAAAAAACTTTAAAAATAACTACCCCAAAGAACATTTTCAAGCAAATGAATGTTATAGAGATTTTTCTGTTCATTGCTTGGGATTAATGCAATCATGGCTGCTCACATAAAAAAAAAAAAACTGTTTTATGTGTTAACATGAAACAATAGGTCTCTTCCAAGGCTTCTGCTTCTGTGGTATTGCTGATGACCCAAGTCAGGTCAATTTCACCAGTGCTCTCAAGGTTCTCCCATTTCACACTTCTGCCCATCCCTTAATACAAAGCAAAAGCAAATTTCCCCACTTCCCTTCCCTCTTCCTCTCTCTCCTTTCTGCGCCCTAATTCACTATAAAATCTACTCTGATTTGGTTTCATGCCTTGCATCACTGCCTTCAGTGAACTTTTTATTTAATTTTAACTGTATCACTTCTTATTGAGGAAATGCAGGTCTACAACACTGTATATGATGACCAGGTATAGGTTCACTTCTTCAGATGTATGTTTTCACACTAATGAACTTTAAAGAACCGCAACTTACCCACCGTCCCAGAAGCCTTTTCTGTTAGGAACCATTCTCTCCCTATATGGCCCTACACCATCCTGACTTCGCTTTTTGTTTTCTGGCTCCTTGGCAGACATGCAGGTGGATATATAAACTGCATCTCCAGTCCAGATTTTCCTGTTAATGTCAGTCTTCCTCATGAAATCTCTTAACTGTCCCAAAGACATCTTAGAATGCACATATTCAGTCAATGAATTTTCTCATAAATCCCCAAATCTTTCCAGAGTTAAGACTTGATCCCTAACTCCCCATGACCACCTCTAGCTCCTAGTCTTCTGCCCCCCAAATATGTCATACTGCACTATCTAATGCCCTCACCTCTTGGCCCCATTTAACATTATTATCTCTTGGTTGGACAACCATTGTAGTCGCCTAAGTGCTTTGACTATAGCCATCTTGGCTCCGATTGGTATTTTATCAATAGACATAGCCAGAGCATCTTTTTAAATCCTAAATCAGACTGTGTCATCCCCCTTCTTAAAACTTTTCAATGGCTCCTCACTATTTTTAGGCTGTATATAAAAACAGCTCAGGGTGACCGGCATTTTCCAGCATTACCTCACCCTAAGGCCTCACATCATCCTCTGCTGTAGCTACACATTCACAAGCTTCCTGTCTTCTTTCAGTTGCTTTCTCCTCACCATGTTCTTTCTGCCCCAGGGCTTTTGCACATGTGATTTTTTCTTTTTGAACTTTCTTCCCCTCTTCAGCCAGTTAATTCTTATTTCTCCTTCAAATATTAACCTAATATATATTTCACCAAGAAAGTCTTTCCTAAGTTTACGATACAAACAGTACTTCCCTTCAAGGGAATTTCAGGCTTTCCATACATGACTTCTTTTTAGTGCTCATTATAATAATAATTTTAAACTTGCCTTTGCTTTATTTTATTTTTATTCATTTATTTTTTTTAGAAGATTTATTTATTTATGCATACAAAATTGGGTACAGGCCAGAAGTACAGGGGCGGTGAGAGGATTCTCCAGAGACAGAGCAGGGAGCAGAATAGGCAGATAGACAATGGGCAAGACAGGAGAAGTCTGTGGCACCATGTGGATCACCTCTGGGGCTGGGGATCGACCTCGCACCGAAGCAGCTACAGCCAGCTTACAGTGCTGAAGTTTAGCCCACTGCGTCACCAGGGAGGGCTCTGTTTTACTTTAAAGGCCTGAAATTTTCTTAGATTATAACAGGAAATGTGTGCTCATAATTATATAAATAGCTCTTGGCAAGTAGGGAATATAGGAGGTACTCACTACATATATATATATATATATTCTACATATTAATGAAAAAATGAATGTGAGGTATGCCATAGGCTAGGACACTTGTCTTATAAAAAGCGAAACACACTATGTATTCTTTAGAATGTGGGCTAGACTTGATTATCTTTTCAATTCCGATTTAAGCTATCTTTTCCCCCGCCCCCAGATGATGCTTTGAGGTTAAGAGAGGACTGTCTGGCATTCCAGGTGGCTTCACTTACTAGCTGGGTGGCTCTTAAGCGACAACTCTTGTGTTCTCATCTCCTAGTCAGAGTAGAGCTGTTGTGAGGATTAAAGGCACTAATAATATTCTTTGTGCAAAGAATACAGCTTGGTGTAAGGTAAATACTATTTCAATATTAGTTACTGCTATTAGTGTTGTTATACTAAGATATAAGAATAAACAATGATTAAATACCTTGATCTAAGAGATGAAACCAAAACTTGATATTCTGCCTGACCTAGAGCTACCTCAGGAAAACACTGACAAATTGCATAATCAGTATTTAAGGTCTTTTATTTAGCTGACTCATTGCTTCTTTGATCTTGCTATCAGTTAACTATTTCTGAATGTCTGAAGACACTGAGACTAGTTTGTTTCAAAATGACCACAGGGCTTTCACTTGAAATTCTGTTGGGTGGAGGAATATCCAGTCTGCAAGAAACCAGTAACTAAAATGCATAGAATAAACACTCCTTTCTGTCTGGGCCACAGGCTACACATAGTCTCCTTTTTCCAGAGTGTGGGGTGGAGGTTCCCTCTGGTCTCCTCAGCCCTACTCAGCAGCCAGTGCCACCCCCTGTAAGCCTCTCAGTCCTGCTTTATGGTAGAGCACTTACGCTGAAGTCTGTCTTCTTTGCCAGGCAGTGGTGCAAAACATAGAGGGAGAGGAGCTGGGTGGAAGGCACGTCAAAGGCTTCTTGCCGCATGATCTCGAAAACCACAGATAAAGCATCTGGCAAGAAGATGAAAGTAAAAATGAGAGGAAAGTAGTTGCAGGTAAAGTCATTAAATTTGTATGAACTAAAACACTTTTTAAAGTAGGGCATGACAGAAAAATAAGTCAGAATTAAGAAGTAAATAAAATAGACGGGCTCCAGTTCTAGTTTTACCAACTAGATCTTTCCCGAGACCTCAGCCCCTCCAGCAGACTCATGTGCAAACTTAGGTGCCATGCGCCAGGGGCCCTCGAGGTCACCCTAAATATACTATTGATTTTTGCTCTTGGTTCCCAGTTTCATCTTCATAATGATACAATTTACTACCTGTTCAAAAGATTTCTGAACAGCTCAACTGGAGAATACATTATGAGAAAGTACTGTAAATCGAGAAGTAAATTCAAGGTGTCATATCCATCAGCTAGAATAACTAAGGCATCCAGAAAAGAGGCCAATATTTTCTAAGCCACATGCAAAGTACTGTGGGAAATGGGGCTGTCTGCCCTTCTGTGTTCCAGTATCTTCTTTTTGCTGGGGAAAGGGGACAAATACTACAGGTATCTCTAAATACTAGTTATTTCAAAATCAATAACTGGTGACTTACATAAAAGGCTCAGTTTAAAAGAGTTGAAAGAAAAGTCATTAAATTTGTACGAAAGGAAGAATGCTCACTCAAATTAAAAGCCTCTGAGTATGATAAACAACACAAAATATTTGTTTCTCCATGAATGCAGGAAATCAAAGCTTGAGCAGTTTTTATTTCCACGCAATATTCCTCAACATAGATGAAAGCCAAGAAAGTCAAGTTCAAGCAATTTCTTTTCCTTATTTGTTGGTAAGTTCAAGAATTTTAATATTGGTTTAAAATACTGTGCCTGCATATAATACAGAAACAGCAAATGTTTCTGACTGCTTTAGTTACAGTTACACAAGTTTTGCACATATTTGTAACTAGGAGTTTGCAACTGATGTGCAGCTGTTCCTAGTCAGTAATCTATTGTACATGTCATTTTTTTTTAAGATTTATTTATTAATGAATAAAGAACTGGGGTGAGAGGATTCACCAGAATCTGCAGGGGAGCAAAACAGTTAGATGAATGAAGTACACTGCTGAGAGGAGCAGCGGGTGGGTCAGAAGTCTGCGGCGCCCTGTGGGTCACCTCTGGGGCCAAGGATAGAACTCGCGCTTGAAGGAACTATATTGTATTATATTAAAGCTACACAGTGCTGCGCTTTAACCTGTTGGGCCACCAGGGAGGGCCCTGTACATGTCATGTGATTCTAAGAAAGCCCATAGGCAAAAATTTCTATATTCTTTTTTGCAAATGGGAAACTGACACAAGCAGAGCAGGTAGTCATGTAGTAAGTTAGTAGGAAACAAGGGCCCTTTCGGGGTCTTTGATACTTCTGACATCATTTAAAAAGGGTGAGAACTGGGACTACATTCTTTTCCAAAGACACAGAAATTAAAACACCAGAGTTCAACCAAACCACTATTTTAAAATACAGTTAAAGCTAAAACTCTAGTTAAAAAAACTGTTTTGCCAACTGTTCACCAATGAATCCAAATTTACACATAAAACCTCAAATATACTTTTATTTATATTCTGCCTCACTGTCAGCTTGGGAAGTGAAATTAGATTGGCTTGTCTAATTAATTTATTTTTCATCCATAATTGTTTATGCATTTTGAAATCTCCTATCCAATAAAAAAAGTAACACTTTCTAAAAGTTTTGCCATAAATGAAATTAATCTTCATCAAAGCTTTATTTTTTAAAATCCTCATTTTCTGCACTTAGGGAGTGAAACTCCTTTGACCCTCTGACATGTCTTTCAGAGAATGAAGAGAGAAAACTGCTACTCTACAATTTTCCTAATATACAGACACATGGATTCTTAAATTTGTTGTTCACAGAGAATAAGTTACAAAACATGCAAAAGCTGATTACCTTTTAGTTGGGTTCAGGAAATGCATTTGTTTAAAATTGAGTAAGAAACCGGTAAGAAGGAAAAACTGACATTTTAAGAAGTAATATAAAGCAAGTATTTTTGGCAGCCAGCAAGTACAAGCCCATTAGAAAGAAGACAAGGCAGAGGCCTAGCGAAGGCAAATTGGAGGCGTGCCCACACAGGCCAGGGCCAGCCCGACCTCTGAACATTGCAGCAGAGGTTCTGCTGTGCAGGGATGAAGGGTCGCACCCAGATGGTGAAATCACAGAGGTCATACATGCAAAAGCGATCAGCAGCCCATATCCCTTTTCCTTGAGGTAGTAAATTTCCTAATACAGGGATGGGTCTGTCCTGGCCCTTAGCACCACACCTCTGGGTGCCCTGGTAGAGGGGAAAGCCAGTGGGTGTCTTTTCATATGGCAAGGTCACCTCCTTCCTTCCTGACTGCAGTTGCAAGAAAAAGCCAAATACCAGGTACTATACATTCCCTCTCCACAGGAGACGTAATGGCATTCTACTTGACTGCTCTTAGAGTCTGCTGCATGCTCCATCAGCTTGGTCTCCCTTATTGCAGTGGAAAATAGTCACTTTAATTTCACAGGACCAGACAATGTTGGAGGCTAGAGACCTCAGAGATCATCGATTTTCTTATTTTATAGATGAGGAATTGAAGTCTAGATATGAAATGAGTTACCTGCAAGGTTAGCATTTGCTCTTTCTAGGAAAGTCGACTATTTTCAGAGTTTTGTATGTTATATACTATAACTGTGATTTAAATAAAACAAAAAAAAATGGTGCTTTAAAAAAAATCAAGCTACCAATTGCTGTACTCTAATCTTAACTAATATACGGAAGCTCAGACAGGGTTTACTGTTTAACTAAACACATTGTCCTAAAGAGAAAAACCTGAAAACTTGAAGGGGAAAAAAACTGGATGTAACCTTAGATGGACAAGTGGTATGGTAAATCAAGTAAACATTTATTTCTGATCAAGAGTGATGGAAACAGATGTCACTAAAAAATTCAAAAAAGGAAAGTTCCTATATTTACTTCCCTTTGGGAGCAGAACATCATTATAAATTGACCTGGGTTTGGTTTCTTACCTTTGTAATTTTCTTTCTTTATGAAATAATCAATCAGTAAGTTAAATGTAAAGTTATCTGGGAAAATTCCATATTGGACCTGTAATGAAAACGAAAATCAGAGAAAAAATATCTACCTTAATTTAGCTTCTGATATATGCCCATGTATTATTCAGGAAAGAATGTGTCATCATTAGCTTTTAAATACTTGACTAACATTTTACAGCATCTGTAACAATGAAACAGAAGCTGTGACTCAAGAGGTAACCGGAGCTTATGGTCAGATCAGAAAGTTGTAAGTGGCAAAAGAAAATGATATGTGAAAAATATATGTGAGTTGTGTCTGATATACGTGAGTTGTGTGTGAGAAAAGAAAATATGTGAAAAAGAAAGCTCAATTCTAGTATAATCATCGTTAAAAAAAAAAACACCCCAAAACAACTATTGTTCCCCTCTCTCCCAACACCCTACAAACACAACCTTGTCTGACTCAGCAATTGTTTTACAAGATATAGAGCTCCACTAGAAAGCATACATTATTTAACATTATGCAGCATTTTCTGGTCCCTAAACTGTTTTCCCCAACTTCACTGAGATACAATTGACGTGTAGCACAGTGTAAGTTTAAGGTATATAACATGATAATTATATGTATATAAAATAACTATCACAATGAGGCTAATTAAAACATCTGTGACCTCACATGATAATTTTTTTTGTTGCTGTGGTGAGAACATTTAAGATGTATTTGTACAGCAACTTTTAAGTATACAATATTATTAACTGTAATCACCATCTATACTGTTAATCCTCAGAACTTGATTCATCTTGAAACTCAAAGTAGGGACCCCTTGACTAACATCTCCCATTTCCTCAGCACTCTGCATTCACCATTGTACGCCTATGAGTTCAACAATTTTAGATTTCATATAGGTAAGATAATATAGTATTTGCCTTTTTAAACTTATTTCACTTAGCATAACACTCTTAAGATGCATCCATGTTGTTGCGAATGGGGAAAGGGTGGTGTTTCCTTCTTATTAAAGGCTGAATAATATTCCACCATGTATGTCCACATTTCCTTTATCCAGTCATCTGTCAATGGACACTTAGATCATTTCCATAATCTAACTATTGTTACAGTGAACTTAAGGGCTCAGACATCTTTTCAAGATAATGATTTCATTTCCTTAGATATATACATTATGAATATGAGATTGTTAGATCATATGGTAGTCCACTTCCAATTTCTTGAGGAATCCAATTTACATTCTCACCAACAGTGCACAAGCGTTCATTTTTGCTACATCCTCATTAGCACTTATGTATTTGGTTTCTCAGACTGGTTTTTAAATACCCAAGAAATATGTCAACAAAATATTACTAACTAATCTCCTATAGTATTTTTTTTTCTGTTACAAGTTGCTGAGTATTTGATAATCCCAATTTCTGAAAATGTGGACCATTTAGTATCCATCTCAGAATTTTCCATGTGTGCTTTTAACAATGCAGATTCCTAAGTCTCAGACTTACAGAATAAGAATCTAGGACCAGGGCATAGAAACCTGAAGGTTTATGTGATATTCATAAACAATCAAGTTTGCTACTATGGATCTAGACTATGGTTGCATTTTTGTTTGCTTTAAATATGTGCTTCAGTAGGATTAATCACCACTCCCTACAGCACACCTATACCCATTCCCTTAGGAGGTTCTGACAGTCCTACTCACCAATTGCAAATCATGGCTGAAATAAGTCACTGTCACTAGAAGCTGTATGAGATGCCTCAAATGTGGTGAAATGGAAAAATACTTTAAAAGCCAGTATTTTAAAAGCTATGGCTTATGGGCAGTGTCTATATTTCCCAAAGCAGTCATCCAAATGAACACTGACCTCTAGCAGCAGAGATTTTAGAGTAATAAACATTTAAATATTTAAGAGTGATAAATCATTAAAGCAGACGGAGTCTTAGAAGTCAAATGTTCAGTGACTGTTAACCCAAGCTGCAAATTAGAATCAACCTGGGAGTTCTGGAAACATACCAATGAGGGATAAATAGACTGACAACAGAGGGTTTCTAAGGCATACTCTGTATGATACTATAATGATACATGTCATTATACAATTGTCTAAATCCATACAAGGCACCCTACCAAACATTATAATGAACCCTAATGTAACTACAAACTTGGGGTGATTATGATATGCCAATATAGGTTTATCAATTACAAGTGGAAGTGGAGGATGTTGATAATATAAGGCAGGCTATGATATGTGGGGCAGGAAGCATATGGGAAATCTCTGTACTTTCTGCTCTATTTTACTGTGAGCCTAAAACTGCTCTAAAAAAACAGTCTATTAAAAACACTTATAAAACCTCATAGAAAATACAATGACTACACCTCAGGAAGATAAATTAAAATCTTGGGAGTAGAAAAAAGCATCTGTAATTTTTTTTTAAAAAAAGCTTCTTATGTGATTCTAATAGATAATTTAGTGATTAGTAATTACTTAGAGTTTAAAAAAAAATAACAATAAAAACAAAAAGACCTGCAAGGATAAAATTATTTGCTTGAAGTTAAGGGTAATTGGTGGGTTATATGGTTTTATAGCTTACATCTTTTGACTCCAGTATTTTTTTTTATATTTAACAGTTTATTTTTACATCATTTTGTACATTTTTTTTTTCCATCTCAATTGTAATCCCCGCGGGTTTCCCATCACCAAGTCACCCATGTGCCATCATCATAATCCCGTGCACTTCCCTCCCCACCCCCCCATTTTTGATCCCATTCCCCACTCCACCCCCGCAAAATGTCTCTGGTATATGGTTGTTCATTATTTTTGTTATTTTCTCGCCTGTTGACTCCAGTATTCTTTCCACTAAAAGATGCAAAGAATGAAATAGATTACTAGACCACTTTTGATTGGTTTTCTCTGGAGGGAGTATAATCTGCATAACTAGGCTCTGAACTATAGAGAGTAGGATTTAACTCACTCCTTCCTAGGGGTTTAACAATATATTTAACCCCCCCCCCTTCTACCTAATTAAATCATAAGCTTCCTGAGGGCAAGAATAGGCTACTGCTCATTTTTTGTAGGCAACACTAAACCCACACACAAAGAATCTAGAATGCATATTAAGCTGATGCATATATTAGGAAAGGGAGAAAAATGCTCAAAAACAAAATCAGTATTTTCTTTTGAGTTCTAACATCCAACGTCCAGTTACACTACAAAATAACACATTTTCACAGAAATATTGTTAAAATTCTTTTATGGGTCATATTAGCTTCAGACACAATAATTACATTCTAAACTTTTGTCTATGAAGGTAATGAAGTCTCAATCCTGAGTAACGTTCAGAAAGACCTTATTCAAAGGGAATTTGGGGGCTTACAGGAAGGGTGGTTTTTGGGAAGATATGTTATACATAACCTAGGAATACTAGGTTATGTAAAATATGTCTGAACACTCTGTAGATCATGTTCCAGCAAAATGGTCAAGTCTTTTTTCTTAAAGGAAAACTGGGAAGAAATCCAAGGTTCAGGGATCAAGAATATAATTACCAGCATACATAATTTTTTGGTTGGATTGTCTTTTGCTTTTACAAGTCACTATGTTTGGAAAAGCAATAGCTTTAGGAATTTTTACTTCCATTGTGTTGGTTAGAATATCTCCAGCTCCACTCTAAAAAGGACATCTGAAGACAAATTTTTTGTTTAAAGATTTACTTATTTATTCATGCAACAGCTAGGGTCCAGGCTAGATGTGCAGGAGATGTGAGGATTCATCAGAAACAGAGTGGGGAGCAGAAAAGGCGGATACACTGAAATAAACTACTGAGGGGAGCAGTGGGTGGGACAGGACAGGTTTGTTGGGCCATGTGGGTCAGTTCCCTGGGTGGGGATTGAACTCATGCAGTGGTGAATGGTGATAGCTTGATAATGCTGAGATTTTTATCCCCTGTGCCACCAGGGAAGCCTGACAAATAACTTTTAAAAGTTATTTCTTGTGCTATTCTTTGCCTGTACTGTTACAGGTACAAATAGCACATTACCTAAATGCAAATACACAACATTTAAACTCAGGAAATAAACTGCAAATGCTAGGAAACCACTCACCTTATTTATAAGGGTATATAAGGCTTTGTCTTGTGCTTCATATTTTAGACACTGCCTAATCCAGGAGTGGACAGTCCAGTCTCTCAGGTACCAGCAGTTGGGACTGTGTCGAAATCTAAGTAGAGAGAGAAAATTGGTGCTAACTCTTAAATATCAATCTCAAAATACATTTTCCTTCAGCAGGTTGTTCTCTTAAATATTTACAGATAATACAGTCAACGTGACAAAGAACTCTGAAACTGAATGGTCAAGAAAAACTCATTCATTGTCAAGTATGAAATGGAAGAGAGAAGTCAACATAAGAATAAATAAAAGGCAATAATATTCTAAATATTTTACCCCTTATATAACACCTACTAATTCAAAATCTTGATTTAGTATGAGACTTATGAATAGCAGGTTTAGGAAATTATCTACTAACCACAGCATTGTATAAATAGATGTATCATTAGAAGAAAGATGTGAAATTGAAACAATATTTTAGAAATTTAAAATAAAACATGGAATACAGTAGGTTTTTAGTGAATAAAGAAGCTTCAATCCACATATGTACTGAAGTTACTATATACTGATCATTTTGTACACAGCTAGGGTATATATAATGGACAGCAATTCCATGCTTGCTATCATCTCCATTATATGTCTCATTATAAAACAAAGTATAAAAACATACTTTAGGGAGCACAGGGGTTAAAATCGCAGTGCTATCACACTATAACCAGCCACAGTGGCGTGAATTCCATCCCTGGCCAGGAGCTGACCTACGTGATCTTTCCTGTCTCACCCGCTGTTTCCCTCAGCAGTGTATTTCAGTAGATCTGCCTGTTCTGCTCCCCACTCTGTCTCTGGTGAATCCTCTCACCCATACCCCTACAACTCCAGCCTATAACCCAGTTCTTATAAGCATGAGTAAATATAAATCTTTAAGAATAAAATAAAAACATAGTTTATGAAAGGTGGGAGATGTTAAGTGCTAAAGACACAAAGGGTATTTATTGCTAGGTGCTAGAGGATTTTGTGGTATTAGATTTGGTCTGCTTTCCCTTTAGGGGGAAAAAAAAACAAAGTTAAAAAATGTCAATTATCACCTGTGCCTGACAATTTTAAACAGAATCCTCACTTTAAATCTCATCTTTTCCTTCAGTGTGTCTCAAAATTACCTATGTAACTTATCTTTTTGATGAATCTTAAAGATAAATCACCTATGGACTTATCTTTTTGATGAATCTTAAGAACACAATGACCATATCTAGCCAAACACCTTTTCCCTTATTAATAAGCAGTTGTTTTAAGGGTTTGAAGAATAACAAAAACTGATATAACCTAGTCATATTTGCCAATGCTCAAATTAAAACTTGTTTAATGTCATTCACTAACCTTCTGAGGCTAATTTTAATGCACTGAAAACCAGAAAATTCTTTCCCTCTAATGTCTTTCCCTTCTTACACTGTATCTCTTAAAAGCCTAAAGGGAAAATTATTCAAGACACCGCACATGCAACAGAATCCCCTCTGCATGTGAAATTTGTCACATGGACGCACAGGGGTTTTCTAAGTCCTCTCCACCTCCCACGCTGGGATATGGCTCTTGCAGTATTTGTTATCTAAGACCTACTAATTCAGATACACAACCATGTCCAGCACATTTTCAATTAAGTAACATTAAGTCAATTTAGGAATAAGAGGAAAATTCACATATATTATGAAATATGCTGTCACAGTGCAATTCCTGCTTTTCCCAGCCAGGCAGCAGATGAAGTTCTCTCTAAGGTCACGTCCACCAGTGTTTTTTTTAAAAAAGAAATTCGCACACACACACACACACACACACACACAAATCAGCACACAACCTATATGAGCAACTACCTAGTAGAACAGCTCACAGCATTGAGATAGTAGGTATCATCTTTGGATGGTTAAGTTCGAGAATTCCTTTGTCAATGACTTTTGAAGCAGTTCCCACAGATAAACTTAGGCCCTGTTCAAAGTTGCCAGTTGGAATATGAAAGGCAGATTGGAGTGGGTGCTTGCCTACAACTATTTTGCAGATTGCTGGAAGAATATTCTCCCTTCTGGTCAAGAGAAAGGCAACGAGTCAAGAACACAATACACTGATTTTCCAACTTGCCTACAAACAGGTTGGATTTTCCTTTTGCCTGCTTTGCCCACCAATCTGGCAGATTACAGGCAAGCAGTGTAGGAATCCCCAGTGTACTCCTTACCATCAGCAGTTTGTTCACCTCAACTGAGCAAGTCTTTACTCTGACTTACTTTATTAATGTCCAGGCCAGCAGGTTGATGGTGAATATGGTAAACAAACACAACCCAAATAATCCCAGCAATGCTTGTGCTCATGAAGGCAAGAGACATTCTGAGCTTCTAGCTTATAAAATATAAGTGCATTTACAACAATTCTAAGCATATGCACAATTCTCAGAGGGAGGAGGGATACGAGGAGAAGCGAAATGTACTTTAAGGCTCTGGATCTTGTTCTAAGGCTGAAGAGATCTCTGTCCTGCTAAGGAGAGTTTCCAGGTGAAGACAGAACTTTTGGCTGTGGGGCCAAAATTACAGCCAATTAAATGGCAACAATTGGGAAGTTTCCCCTTTTCAAAATCATGCTATGTTCAGGACTTTTCAGGACATTTGCCTGGACTATTTCTCATCAGAAGGAGAGCAGAATGAAAGGTTGCAGAATTGACAAGAGTGCAAAATTGATACAGGAGCAAAAGTCTGATATCATAATAGAATTTTCAGAAGGAAAGAGAGTTTACACCAAAGAAGTCAAGAATGAAAAGAAAAACATCACAGATTCACTATGAGTATATAGAAGTTATTTTGCTATGTGAAAGAATGTGACATGGAATTTCCTGTTTGTGACCAATTTCATTAAAAAAGAAAGTACAACACAGCCTTTATTCCATGGGGTTAAAATTAAGGTTCTTGATGAATGGCCAGAGAGGCAATGCTCAGCTCTTCGAGGACCACAAATGAAAGCTCCAGCCTGAGCAGGGCTGACACACAGATGCCCAGGCAGGGTGCTCAGCAGCACGGCCAGCACTGGCTCTTCCGTGTGAATGAGCAAGCTTTCCACAACGTTTATCTGATTATGAGAGCCACCAGCCTTGAACACACACATGAAGCTTTCCCTCCTCCCTAGTGTGTTCTGTATCCAATGGCAACAGGCTTTCCAATGGAAACAGCAGCCTGGGGCTGGGCAGACATGGAGATGAGCAAGGGGGCCGAGGATAAAGGGAGCAGAGAAGAATGCCAAGAAGAAAATACAGTTGGCTTCAAAGCTCACAGTGTGGACTGGGATTCTTATCAATGAGGAAAAGCCTATAATTACTAGAAAGTTTGAGCACTTCCTTGAACTGGAACCAAAGAACAAGAGAGTGTGAAACTATTTAACTCTTTAAACTAGTATTTGATTCAATCACTACTCTTCAATTTCTCATCTTAAAAGAATAATTTTCTTTGCATCTCGCTGGAAATTTTGCTTTCATCAATTATTAGTTGCCCCCAAGCTACCACAAATAAAATTAAATTTTTATGATAATGTTTTTTTGACTATTACATTTTTGCTAAGTGTAAAAAATAGGGCCACAGTCTATAAAGGAATTGAAGATAAAGACAGCAGTACTAACGATTAAAATCTCTTTCCTGCTTGAGATGGGATTCTTATTCTTATAGGTAAACTTCAGCTAAGTTTAATTTTCAACATATATGTCCTGAGCCTGCACTAAGTGCAGCATTTATTGCAAGAATATCTTCCAAAACAGCGCCACCAAATGGTCAGTCTGGGCACGAACATTTCCACAGAATGAGTTATATATAACTCATGTGGCAATAAGAAAAATGTTCTAGTATCTCTAAAAATTCCTTAATATTTACTTTGTAGTCAACCTCTCCAGGGGTTGCTGGTCAATTTATTCAAACTTTATACAGATAACTTCCTAGAGTATTTTTCTAACACCTGAGTTATTAATTTTAAAAAAGGAAAAAAAATTCTATCTGTTGGTTTGGTTCTAGTTTATATTCTGCTAATTTCCCAAAAGAACTTGAAAAAAATCAAAGCCTAGTCTGCAAGTAGTTTTTTCAGAGTCCTCTATACATTAATTACATTTTCTGGTATTCCTATCTGTGATTCTAAAAAGGATGGTAAAGAAGTGGATTTTGGGTAAAGAATAACAGACATAGAATTTTGCAAATGTGAAGTGTTAAATAAATGCAGCATAATAGCACATTTTTTGAAGTGACGATGGATAACAGAGAGAGTTGTTAGCTATCAAAGTCAAAGTCTAAATTTGTCAGACCAGGGCTTTGAAAATGAGGTCATTAGCATTTCACTTCCAACCATTAGCAAAAATAAGACAGAAAAACTATTCCAGGAAAAATAACTTATTTCCCAGGTCTTCTCAAAGGAACAAAAAGAATGCAATAACATATAGCACATATATACCCAAATTATTATCTCTTTCTCTTCTCTCTGACCTGGCTATCACTTTGCTAGATTGACCTCTGTTGATTTAGGAGACATACTTCTTATTCAATAAATAAGTATTTGCTGAATAGTGGTCAGCGCCAGGTGATCCCTTTCTGAGACAGAAAGAAAAACTCCCATAGACTGACTCTATGCATGCTTAGTTGCTGTCTGTCTCACTCCTTTCATGGTATATAAAAGCAAGGAGCAGTCAGGATGAAGCCAACTGTTCTTTTATCTAAAGCTGGAACACTATTTTTACCAGCCTCCAAAAGTTGATGGATACAGATTAACAAAGAAGAATTATTTGTGGAGAGAATGGGAGGGGAAAAAGCATATCCTGAGATTGTGGCCCCGTCCTTGTGGTGGTAGGAGGCATCACAGGCGGGTCTTTGTGGCCAAGAAGCACCCCATCCATGAAATGCATCTGGAAACAGCTGGTGGGGCTTTCATGCTGGACACATAGGTTCACTTCACACCCCAGAGACAGTTACTGAAAGGCAAGATGAGGCTAGAAGGAGAGCCCATATAGCTAAAAACAGTGGGAGGCTGAGAAAAATCAAATCTTGGGGCCATTCCTAGTTTTTTTTTTTTTTCAGTAATTGAGAAATAATTGACAGACATCACTGTGTA